AGTTAGAGAACAATTAAGTAAAAAATTCTGATTCTGAATAGATTTATACTTTTACCTCTCTTGCATTATATAAAGAATCATAAATCAACATCTACAAACCCAATGTACAGTACATATGTAACAAGCCAACAACTACCGGATTATATCAGGGTATTATATCATGATTATTTTAAATTAATTACTAAATAATTTGTCATTAGAGGAAGGCATTAGGTATAATCTCTTATTAGATTTAGTAATTATAATTTAATTAAATAATTTAGAAAATTCTGGAAGAAAAGAATCAGCATGGAGCGGGACTCAAACTTGCAACTGCTGCTTACCATGTGGATGAGTTACCAGTTACACTACAGTTACTCCAGTCCGATCTCCTCTTCCAGATATATTTAAACACGAGATAACCATCCTCGGTTACATACAGCACCAGCTGGGAACCATATGTAACCACTAGTGACAAATTATTTAGTAATTAATTTAAAATAATTGTGATATAATAGCCTCATATAATCCAGTAGTTGTTGGCTTGTTATATAAAGAATCTTCGATAGTTATTTTTTATTCTTTTTGTTTTAAACAGCCCATGAAATGTTTTACAGCAAAATGTTCAATGTAACTAATGGAACTGAACAATTATACATCTTGAGATAAAGTGAGAAGACTTCTCACTTTGGACTGGAATTTTGTCTGAAAATTAGTGTTGGAGAGTAGATACAACCAACTGTCTGAAAATTTCATGAAAATCCAATAATTAGGATCACTTTGGATAGAATAAATACTAAAATTCAAATCGGGGAAGTTGAAAGTAATATAAATCAGTGTCGTGGGTCTGAAAAACTTGGAGAAAATTCAAGTTAAGAAATCAAAGCTGGAGATATTATATCCCTATGCCAGGGGTGACCAACCTGCTGCTCTTTGAAGGATTATTTGTGGCTCTCGATAAATGTACCCGAGTTCCCTTTTCATTTTTGTGTTATTATATTTTAAAAAATTATTATCGTTCCGTATGTGTTTCAAAATGTCTTAAATTACTAACAACAAATATGAAAGACTAAGTGCAACGTTGTAACAAATTTCATTTCCGTCCAAGTTAAGAATGATATACTCATCGAAAACTGCGCGAACGAACATAAACAGTGGCGTAATCGTCCATTATCGACCGACTCCAGACCGATTTTGAATTTGTAAACTGTCATTGCAATGGACAGTTGACATTGTGCTCTGGAGGAAACAATTTGTATCACTTTTGCTATGGATATAATTCCTAATCTGGAATTTTTCGCATACCTTTTTAATACGTATTTAATTGCGGCTCGCGAAAAATTTCAAATTTTGAAAAATGGCTCGGACTATCAAGGAGCTTGGCCACCCTGGCCCTATGCTATTCCATCAAGTCCCACCAAGTGCTTTGTTTTCTTTGAGTTAAAGAAATATTTGAGTTAGAAAAGTTTTACTGTATATACATTTTTCTTGTAAAACTATCACCATCAAAATGCCAGCAAAGCAAATTTACTTGCAAATGTTCTCAAATATAATTAAAGGTCTTCATCAGGCAGTTCTAAATACAGCACCATATATGTAAGAGAACACAGAAAAAGAACAAAAGATACAAAAGATGTCAAAAGCATTTCCAATGGCTGAAGATTATCTATGAGATGCCATAACTTGCAATGTTTACTTATTTTTGATGCACATGTTTTTTTCTTATTTTTATTATATAATGCATTTCACTTGTGACAAACATTTTAAATTTATCTATTCTTTATTCTGTGTTCTCTTACATATCTGACATTCTATTTAGACATTCTCTTACATATCTGACATTCTATTTAGATTTGTATGATGACAGCCTTTAAGGTTGTCATCATACAATTCTAAATAGAACGTCAGATATGTAAGAGAACACAGAATAAAGAATAAATATGGTTGAAAACACTTTTAAATAAATTTGCTGGAATTTTCATGGTGATAGTTTTAATACTTGTTTCATTCAGTTGTGGTTTATTTATCTATTTTTTTTAAATCAGAGTCTAAAAAAATATTTAAACAAACTGAAACATGTATATGTAACAAATATTGCATTTTGAAGCCAGATATTATTATTTTTTTAATATTAATAATTTAAATTATTAATATTAAATTTGTAAGATTTGTTAATGAAAAACAATTATAAATTCTTTCTCAATCCCTTATAATAAACATGTTTTTTCAGTAATGGAAAAAACAGCAAAATTAATTTGTTTTAAATTAAATACAAATGTTTTCAAAATAAATATAATCAAACACCAAACAATTTGCTGAGCTTATTATTAATTTACTGTTCAAACGTTTTCAGCCTACTTCTAATAGGCCATTCTCAAGACTACTGTTCTACAATCAAATACAAAACTTTGTACAAAAGTTTTGTATTTGATTGTAGAACAGTAATGTCTTGAGAATGGCCTATTAGAAGTAGGCTGAAAACGTTTGAACAGTAAATTAATAATAAGCTCAGCAAATTGTTTGGTGTTTGATTATATTTGTAAGTAAACTGCTGTGGAGGTGAAAGTAGTTACAAATGTTTTATATTTCCAGAAAAAACAGTAGGTCTGATAAACATTACAAACAGCATAAACTGCATCCAAAACAGATTTATATATATCTATAAACAGTTTAAATTAATCTATTGTTACTATTATATTCGTTTTTAACAAATACAATCCAGAAATTTTACATAAACAATTCAGCATAATTTTAATTAAGGCCAAATGATCTTTGACAAAATTAATGGGCTACATTAATAATTACTAATCAATTCAGAAGAAAAAATAATACAGAGGTCTAGGTAGTGTAACTGGCAACACATCCACACAGTAAGCGAGAGTTGTGGGTTCAAGCCCCGCTCTGGGCTGATTCTTTTCTTCCAGAAGTTTCTAAATTAAATTAATTTATTATATTAAAATTAATATGAGGTGGTACCCTACCTATGTCTAGTTGAATTAATTACTAATTATTAAAGTAGCCCAATAATATTGGCAAAGATCATTTGACTAATAAATTTTACAGTAATAAATTCATAAGTTGACACACATTCAAAAATATAAGACATTAAAAAGTAAATTTATTAAACTTCTAACATTAAAATTTAAAAGGTGAAGAGTTACTATGCAGGAAAGTCTTATGAACTTTCCACTATCAGAATTTTTAGTTAATTAAAAATAGACTTGCCCAACTGATCTAATACAACTCTAAAACAGTGGATGAGCAATGAGAATTAAAATAATTGATCAATCTATTATTAAACTCTGTCAAGATAGTATCAATGATATTGACATTGATTTTACAAAATTTAATGGTTTAAATTTTAATGTATCAATGTATAAAATGTAAATGTAAAAGCAATTATTGATTTTATTGAAACACATTATGTATTATTGATATATATGATTTTATATAAACACATTACATAAATATACACCATAGCCCAATTTTTAATAGCCAAACATCTAAAGCAAAATTACTTTCAGGATAGAATTAAGCTTACAATTTCTTAAATTATAAAAACTGATCTAAGATAGATGGTTAAGCCACCATGTCCACACATTAATAATTGACATAATTCTAGTTCAAGTAATATGGCTTTAGTTTTGTTTGAATACCCATTGTATTCAAATGTTTTCAAATTCTTAGCTCATCTTCAAGGATTGCACAAGAAGTTTATTAACCATTAGAATAATTTTTAGAGCTTAATCTACAAGAATAGCTTAACTTCTGTGTCTGAAATTTCAGTAATGCTGATAGAACTGTATATGTTACATAGTCCCAATTTACATTTCTTTCTGTAGGGAGGTACACCCTTTCCATACACTGACACTTTTTCCATCATTTTGGCAACAATGCTATGCTTGTAGAACAGAAGTCTTTTGGTCGGTGTTGGCGTCATCGAACGACAAACTTTCCAATTTCAGCATCTCCTGTCTACTAAGGCTTCCTTCAATGGACTAAACACTAATAATTGCACAATGACAGATCCAAACTGTAAACTGGGCAATGCAAAATTTTCCAACCGTCTGTCGATTGCCTCCAACATGAACAGGGCTATGCTCCAATACCAGTCAAAAGACTTGACAAAAAGAAACCACCTTTCTTAATTTCAGCAAATCAATTTAATGATAAAAACGTTTTTGATGTAGATTGATAGATTTTCATCAGCTGCTAGAAGAATAGAATAAGAATTAGGATATAATTACAAAAATTAAGATTTAATTTTAGTCCAATCTTAAATTTTGTAATTGAAGAACATGTGTAAAGAGAACATGTTGGAATTAAGAACGATGGCTTCTTTTCTGTTACCTGTTTCTCTTGTTATTTGGATTTGTTTATATCAAAAGACTTATTCCGCAGGCATCATTGACAGAACAACAGAAGCGTCAGCACGTGGAAGGGGAATAACTAGCAAAGGAAACAATGCGAGTTTATGTAACACATACTTTTTGTGCCGGATATTTGTGTAGTTCCCTTCTATTCATTAAATATACAGTTGTTTACATACAGTTCCATTGCCATTACCGGAATTCCAGATATAAGGCGAACCACCCTTATATAACCCACGACGACGGATTCGTAAAGCGAAGAGTATCCTGCCGTATTACGGCAAACACATTAATTTCAATAAAGCAATATGATTTATTTATTTATTCATTATTATTATTATTTGAAAGATGACAGTAATTAGTTTTAAATCATTTGTATAAATGTAGAAGCACTAATTACATGATTTTTAATCTAAATTTCTATTAAATATTTAATTTAATGTATAAAAATCTAAAATAATATATTTAATCAATGTTAAGATAATTAACAATTAAGTTTTTAATTGATAATTAAATGCACCTTTTAAATTAATAATTTATTCATTTATTAACAAATTATTTAAAACGAAACTGAAACTAATTTAATAAATTACGTTCTTTTGAATAAAAATAAATTAAATGAATTATTCAATTAAAAATTGTCATTTTTACCTTTAAGCATTATTTAAGGCACAACTTCTCGCAACTTTTGAGGCCTTTTTAATTAATTTACTAGCTGCTTTCTGCCTCTTAACGAGGCGTAATTCGACATTCGATTAAATATTTATCTATTGGCAAACAACGTACCCCACGAAACTGATAACTACTTGATATACTGTTGCCATAACAACATAAAAACTGAATACGTATATTGCGAAATGTTCTATTTTTTTTTTAATTTTCCGACCCAAAAATAGCCAAAAAATAATTTCTTATTTATTTATTTATAATATTAATTTTATTAAAAACTCTAATACGTATATAAATATTTTTTAACTTTAAAATTTTTAATTAAAAAAATATTTGAGGAGGAGCTAAAGCGAAATATCTTCCTATATCTGTAAAATTCGTGATATAAGTTTTCGGAAAATAAAACGTTAATAATGGAGATTTTCACGAGTAAAAAACTTTTTAAACTTTTCATTTATCTCGGTCTAATATATTAACATTGGCTCACATTACTTAGCTCTTCACTATTTAGTATTTATTTTGTAAACAGATATCGCTACCCGTTCATATATTTTTCTCAAAACGCTTACCTTTTACATATGTTTATTACTGAAGTTCCGGAAGAGCGACGAATATTAAGTTGGATCAGAAATAAGAACGGGATGCCGTCAATTTTTAATACAGTCAAGTGAATTTTTTTTGCACGCTTAAATAACGGAGAGAAATTGCAAACGATTAGCTGTGAGCGTAGTTGTGGGAGCCGCGAAGTTCTCGACTTTTCGTGATATGTTAGTTGTTACGGTCGTCTGTAAAGTGGATTTAGTTATATTAGCTCGTGTCTGCATGGTATTCGGTTTAAAATGACACCTCATAAATTTCAAGTTGCAAATTTCGTGCTCGAACGGTGACGCCAACCAGTGGTGAGTGGATGGAACCACCGAATACTGGTAGTTCGTGGGTTCGCGCCTGACCAACGGACTGGCCACGTGGTTTTTCGGGGTTTTTTTCACGTCAGCAACGCCTAAACAGAGGCCAGTTTCCCGCAAAAGACTTCCCGGGAGGTATTCGCCCTAGGTACATCGCCTATGTGTCGCGTTGCCGTAATCGAATAAAACCCAAACCCTAACAGCCGATTGCAGAGACAGAGTTTACGTTAAACGACGTTTATCAACAGAGCGGCCTGTAGACGTTGGCTGGCTGAACCGCGGTTTAAAATGCATTGCAAAGACGACGATCGTCTATTTCTGACCCTTCTCTAAACGAACTTCGGCAAAACATTGGCTCTTACTTACTTCGCTATTACTCCCCTGTTTTAGGAGTCATTCGGCCAATCGGGTTATTTGTTTGTGACGACAGAAATGGTCGCCAGCTATATTCCGAAAGCTTCCAGAAATAAAATCTTAAGGCCGTCAAAACCATTGTTTGTCAATTAATGACAAATGATAAATGCATCTGATTTAAATTAATTGTAGTTTTAAGTCTTCACCCATTTGAATATTGGAATTGGAACATTTAAAACAAATTTAAAGTATTTAATTTTGTTATTTTTGCTCCAAGCAATTAATTAATGAATAATTTTGTCGATTCGTACCGTTTACAACATTTATCAAAGGAACGATATCTGTTTTTATCTAAACTTTTCCACGAACAAAGCTACCACTCAAATTGAAAAGCCCTCTAAACCTGCTGTCGAGTGAGTCTAGAAAGTAGGTCGAATAACTTGTTTCTAATCGCTGTCTACATTGTGGCAGGCGAGAAACGCAGTCTCTGCAATGAAATTTTTCTGAACAGCGGTCTACCCGATCTGTAAACAGCCGTCGGCCTCTAAACTCTCTCTCTGCAATCGGCTGTAACTGTCTCGAGGCCCGGGGAATATTTCCCAGCTCCTCCTCACTCGATGATCCTGATTCCAGATGTTTATACCAAGTATTTTTTCAGCTTTCACAGTATTCTTGGTATTATGCGACCGGAAATTTTTAAAAAATCCAGCAACGAGTCGCGTAACTTTCCCGGCGTTATGAAATTTTATTTTAAAAATAACTTTTATATTTTTAATTACAATATAATAAATAAAATTGTGTGTGGCACCATTTAAAAAATCTTCTATATTTTTTATTATTATCGGATGGCGAAAAGCTCAATTTTGAGAAATTCTAAATGCTAATAACGAATAACATCAAGTCAGGCCCCTCTCCAGACCTGACATCCATCTATATCCCCACCCTTTCGACCTTTAACCACCAAAATTTAATAGCGTCAATGCCCTTTACACACAAATTTCGCTTCTTAATGATTATCCTCAGCTAAAAATATTAAACAAAATCGAGAGGAGTCGGACGTAATGAAGATTTTACTCGTTATTAACGATTACAATGTTTTTTTCTTTTTATAAAACTCGTTGCAACCTTCAAAATTAAATCTTTTGCCATTTCATAATAAGTAATTATGTAATTTTTGTAGAAAAATCTCGTAATAATTTTATTTATTATGAGTAATGGTTGAGGCCGACGCTTTCATCGCGAAAACGTGTACGTCGGACGTTCAGCGCCGCCTTCCTATAAGCCTAGAAGTTTGACAACGGCGTTTGGTACGTCGAGCATGATTCCACTGACGTTCCAAACGCCATTGTCAAACTTCTAGGCTTACAGGAAGGCAGCGATGAAACCGTCGTCCGCAACCTCTCTATTTTAAAATAAAATCTCATAACAGTCGGGAAATTACGCAATTAATTGCTATAGTTTTTAAATAATACTTGCGTGATATAAGCTACACGTGTTTCAGTAAAGCATTTCAACTTGGTACAATGTAAATTTTCGATTGTTTTAAAAAATATTCACTTAAAATTTACCGAATAAATTATAATGAGACTTCAAAAAGGGTTCTTTTTCAGGATATTTTACACGCGAATATATTACACGTGATGATCCAAAAATCAGTCAACCTTTCTAAATGCAGCTTCATTGCAGTTTTTCTAACAAATTAGTTTAAGATCAGACAGTCCATGTTCAATGTATAATTTATAGCATTCTAACAGAGATTAAATGGAGATTGGCAGGATACACTGGGAGTTGTGAAATTAAACAGAAGACTGGAAAGATGGTGGGATTATCCTGACAGAATACTTTGGTAGTAGTGAATGACATTGTCAGAAGTAGCACTGGACAAGCCTATATCCCCTGCAGTGGATAATCATGGATAATGATGAAAAATATTTCAACAGATATTCTGATGTAAAACTATTATCATAATATACAAAAGTTTAGACAATCAGTTGTTCAAAATTATCAACTAACTGGCAATTAATTTACAATATCAAAAACCAGAACAATCATTTCTGAATATACATGAATACATATTAGATTATTATATTAAATTATTCTAGATACATAATGACTTATGTGACCTTTCAAATTTTGACAGTTAAGTATTTATGTATAATAAATGTCATGAATATCAGTTATGTAAATATTTATTATGCCAACATCTAGAACTGGTATTTGATAGAGAGCCAAGAGGTAAAAAATGTCAAACTTTTGAAACTGAGAAATCAATTATTCAGAATGAATATGGAAATTTTACTGAGCTGTTACAAAAACAATAGAAGATAAAATAAAAAATTATTTTGTCCTTAAACATGGAAATTAATATAAAATTTGGCAATTGACTAGTTAATATTATTTCAATTGAATCTCAAAATACAGTGGAACTCCATTTATCCAAATCCTGTTAATCCAGATTATAAAACACAATCCCTGTCTCAGAAAGACATACAGAAAACTTATAAATGCAAAAAATCAAACTCCTAATTACAATCTTGCCTGAGTGTAATAAGAATACACTTGTTTCCTATGAATTGGCATATGATGTTCATTGTTATGCATTCCAACTTTCCTATTGAATAAAAATTCTTTGCTTCTCATAGCAGTCAACATGTTAATTAATAAGTTTATTGTTTGTAATCATGCGAGTTATTATTCACTCAACACTCTAAAGCCTCTATTGTTTTGCTTGGTTTCACTCATTTTCAAACATTTGTGAAATAAAGTAAACACCACAGAAATGACATTTAAAGGAAAGAAAGTGGTTGTTATGTTGCAGAAGACTACAGAAATATAAAATAAAAAGTTTAAAAACTGTGTTATTTATGTTGTTAATGAATTTTCCAGATTTTTGGTCATCCAAATCAGACCAGGCTCCATTTGAGCTGGATAAATAGGGTTCCAACAAACAACGAAAATAAAAAATGTAATGTACAAATTGAACAGATTTTCTCCTCAAAAGTACAATGCATAAATAAATGGACTTTTAAGCCATTTGCCATCAGATGCACCAGTAGCAGAATGCTCTTCTAGATGAGTACAGCTGCAAAACAAGCAGTTCTCACTAATGAATAATAATGAGGAGGTGCCTTGTCTGTAAAATAAGCACCATAATTGCCTATCAACCCAAAAGTCATACTGGGGTTTCCATTAAGAGGTATACCATCTCTGTTTTCAAAAACTGAAATGTCAAATGTGATATATGAGTGTAATGTTGATGACAATGGCACAGAAGACGATACTACTAGATGTAACAGGACAATCTCTGTAATCATCTTAAAAGGAACATTGCCATAGACTTCAACCATGAACTTCATTACCATCAAATTATAAAATGAACATAGTAGTTGATCTCTCAGACAGAGGAAATTGGGATAAGATATAAATAAAACATGTTGTCAAAACAAATTTTTCTAAATTATTAATGTGGTTATTATTATATAAAAATAAATTTCTCAACAATTAGGAATAATCTTTCATATTTATTTGCTTTATTATGCTTATGTATATATTTAATTTTTTTATACATATCAAAATATTTGATTTAAATACATACAATAATAAATGTGAAAAATTTACGAATTCCACATACAGATCAATTCGTAAATATCGTACACATGATTTGAATCTGTCATCTTTAAAACATTTCGGCAAGATACATCCGTTTAATAGTAACTCTATCAACCTATGAAATGTCTTTTGGCATGTAGCCTGTACTTTTGATTGAACCACCACAAAATATGGCCAAATTTACGTTTACATACTGTAAATAATAGTAATAGCAATCCATAACTTATTAAACCAATTTTTGGCTACTTACATAATTATAAAATCTGATGACAGCTGTATGATTACCCAAAAATATTAATTATTAAAGCTTTTAATCAATTTAATAGGATGTGAATTATTAATTCAAAACTTATAATTAGTGTATTGTAAATTTAAAAAATTTTCATAGATCCTGAAGCCTCGATTAGACATTTAAGATGAAATAGCTCTTGACACCATTAATTCCATAAAATAGCATCAAATTATAAATGTTAAATATTGTAAACATAAGATTAATTCAAATTAATACTAACAAAGTTAAGTTTATTTGTTACAGAATTTGATTTTATTCAAGAATATTGCTAATTTTAATTTATTTGTTTAGCATTTTTCTTTAATTAGGAATGTAAATTTAGGAATTTTAAATCATTCTTTATGTCCAAATATCATAAATCTATCTAATTTATCTTATCTAAAGGTCCATTAAGATCTTTGTAAAATATCATCAACAACAATTGATTATTTTAATGTAGCATTATGGAATATCTTACATTCAACGTTATTCTTCCTAAATTTACTTAAAATCACAATATACACACGTATACGTATATACAGTGTACACATATATACAAATATATATATATACATGATTAAATCATAAGAATATTAGAAAAGATAACAATAAAATCTTTTTTTTTTTTTTTAATTTTCATTTTAAAGCAATTCAATTTACATTATTTAATTACTTTTTATATTGTCTTTGCAAATAGAAACTGATATAATAAAATTCCATAAAGCAGAAATGGTATATTATAAAATGCTCTAATTAAATTCATTTATTTTTAATTAAATAATATAAAACATGTCATACTTTAAATTGTTGAGCACAGAATTTTCTATTTATTTCTGCTAAAATGACAGAATATTGCAAAGCTTTCTCGGCAGATATATTAGCAAACATGTCTTCTTCTTTTTCCACTGAAATATATTATTTTATTATTAAATTAAAAGTGTAATTCATTTAGAAATAATTATAGTTTATTTGTTTACTTAATATAAAAACACTGTATATACAAAAATAATGAGATAGACTCTTTTACAGACTAAATTTATACCAAGAACACATAGATTGACTAATCTATGATATCAACGTATGTCTACAGATCTTTTTCTTTTGAAGGAAAATTTTTCACTTATCAAAATAAAGCTTTTAGTTTCATTCTTGCAATAATACAAGAATGAAACTAAAAGCTTTATTTTGGTGAAATGAAGAATGAAATAAAACTAAAATTGTCCGTCTTTATAATAGAAAATTTGACAACTACTTATTAATCTCTTTTTGTTCACATTAAAAAGCAATTTCTGCAATTACCACACCGGTAGAAACATCAATGTAAAATCTTTAGGAATTTTTAAGATTTCTATATTGCTTTTTATTGAAAGAATCAATAACTTTGTAGGCTACCAATTAATTCTATTATTGAGATTCAATTTAATAATAGTTAATAAATTCATACATTTATTTTTGAGCTCAAAAATTTTTTTAGAATTAATTTAAAAAACATGATTATTATTAATTTTATTACCTGATTTAATATCTCCCTTATCTAATCCTTTGGATCCTTTTGGTCTTCCTCTCTTTTTTGATGCAACAGTACCTCCTTCTTCGCTATTAGAGCCTTCGCCTTCCAAATCATTAGCGCTACTACTGGTACTGTTTCCAGTTCGTTGACGAGATTTCCTCTGAAACGACTTTAATTGATTTTCTATTTGTAATGCATTAAAATAATTAGGTCTTTCTCTTCTTATCCTTTCTGTTCTCCTTCTCTTTATTTCTCTGTCTCCTTCGCCACCTTCATCTGAACCGCGTCGTGCACCTATTTTATGAATACTGACGGCACGACGGGCGACAAAAAACACATGACCGCAGGGACAGGCCTTACATGCAACAGGAACCTGATGCAATAAATACAAATCAAATATTTCAAAGGCATTAGTTTCTGCCTACTTTCAAAGCATTTATCTTAATCTTTATAATATTCAATAAAACATGTCAATAAATTTAATAATTTGATAACTGTATTTTTCTTATTCTTTTAATTGACGCACATATAATTTCAATATCCTAACTTTTTATACTTTTAAAATAATGAAAAATAATTTATCTTAAAATTAATTATTCAACAAAGCTGAATAAATACAACATAAGTGAATTTTTGCCAATCCTTTTCATAAACTAAAGGAATGATAGAATATTGTTTTTCAGAAATGCAAACAATTCTTTTTGAACAATTATTATTTTTAAATAATTGTTCAAGTAGAATTGTGCTTGTTCTCTTTGAAGTGATTCAAATACAGTGGAATCTGTTTATTGTTATCATTTACATCATCATCTATTGCAAGTTCCAAAGCATATAGGTTAAAATACATTTATAAAACTGTTTATTCTAACTGGAGTAAGTAACAGTTATCATTATCTTTAGATAAACAGATATTTTTAAGAGTAATCAATTCCTAAAAATATCTAAATCCAGTTACAAAAACAATTTATTAACTGAACTAATATTTTTGACCTTGTTTAAAGGTCATCCTTAGAAACCTGAGGATGGCGTTTAAACAAACTTTGTACTTTTATACTTTGTGCATCCAGTTTTTGCAGTGATTAATGATATTTTTCACATTTTTAAACTATCTTTCTATCACTTTGTTAGCTGTATGAATATACAACTAACAAAGTGTGAACTATTATTATCTTAATAAGTGCCTTAAATGTTAAATGTTTATCATCTTAATCACTATTTGCTTGCACTACAATAGTTTACATATTTCTTGTTTTATATGTGAGATGATGGTAGGAAAGGTGAACTTAGATCTGGTATGCTAGAAATCTAAAGGCCTAAGCCTATTTATGTTGATGCTCTTAAAAGAAAAAATAAAATAAAATGTTTTATCAAGTTAAAACATAATATGCCATTTTTATATTAAGAACAGACACAAATTTAATACTTTGAATCATTTTTAAAACTTACCAAATTAATATCTATGAACAAATTTTCAATTACCATATTTTTGTACATAAACACAGATAAGCTGTGGGCTCTAAGAAATACATTTAAAAGGGAAGGTTATGTAACAAGTCAGATTAAAGAACAATTTTAAATTGCAATCACAAACTTGCACCTATAGGGCAATGGCACTATATATCTGATATGCCATTGCAAATTATACTCACAAAAATATGATTAAACTTTTAAAAATTAACTTATAATAAAGCAATTAAATTAAAATTACCATGTTTACTGAAATGTAAGACACTTTTCAGGTTTAATCATCTCTGAAAATAAGGTGCTTCTCGATTTCAAAGTAATATGTCATAATTAATAATCTCTAGAACCATGCATCTTATTTCTCTGTCACTAATTCTATGGCATCATTTTAATGATTTTATTACATTAGTATTCATAACAGAGAATATTTAAGAGGCTAACTTTGAACAATCTTGTTAGTCTATTACAGTAACATTGCAAGTACTATAATGAAAATCCTAGTAAAAGTTATGCGCTGGTTTTTCGAAAAATGTTGTATTTCTGACACTAAACAAACCTTAGTATGATTGCATAAATTGAATCCAATATGAACATTGAATCTAATGTTGATAAGCATAGATTTTAGTTTACTAAAACTACAACTACATGCCTATATAACAATTAAAACTAATACTCAGGAACATGACTAAAACAACATTAGGGTTGATTCAGAAAGTAAAGGGGTTTTCAAAAAAGTAAGTTATACATAATGATATATAACTTACATTACTTGAAATAAATACTGAAAATTTCTGTTGACATAAATTTGATTCAAGTTGTCTATTTCAGGTGAGCATGTAGAAATTACGGCGTCTCTTAGATTTAAGTCAATATGGTACTTCATTTTAAAACAATTTTAAATAATAATAGCTTATTAAAAATTATAACTTTAACAATATAACTAATTTATAAAACTAACTTTATTAATATTAATATACATCAATATAATATAAACAATAACCAAAAATGTAATTAATCAATTAAATCTAAAGTACCAGAATTTCACACTGCATTTAAACTAACTTTTAACTGATTAAATTACAGAATTTAATCAATTAAAATTCAACACAATATGGTGGCCTAAGTAACAAAAGATGACAGACTGTCTATAGGGCATATTCCATAATTTAATTAATATTTGTGAAAAATGATAGTTAAACTAAGTTATGAAAATGTACCTATCAATACATTAATAATTATATTATTCTGCCTTTTTATCAAGATATTCCATATCATTTATTAAATATGTATTCAGTATTACATAGCCTGTATATATACACACATACTTGTATATATATTTTAAACTAATAAAATACAAAACTTAAAGGATGCCAATTTCTAAATAAGTGATAGTAATACATGAGACTATTAACAAAAAAACAAAAAAAATTATTTTGAAAACAACCAGCATACCATTATGATTCCTATATGTCATTTATGATTAATCACATATATATAACCTATTTTTCAATTGTTAATTGTAAATACAATAAAAATTAATTACATTTAAGTACTTTTACTGATTTTGATTTTAATCAAACATGAGTTTAGTTTCATTTTCTCATTTATAATTTAAAACCTAAAAAACAGGTTAGATTATTACATCACCATTAATTAATATGCAAAGATAATCTATTAGCTTACTTCTAGGAATAAATATTAAACTTCTCGGCAAGTTAAAGAAAAAGAACAGTTTTTCACTTTTAAATGCCAATTCAAAGTTTATTCAAGCTGACTAACAGCCATTAATATCAGTAATATTGCTATTCTATGCATTTTGTGAGAAACACTGTCATATTACTAAATTTATCTGAATAATAAATTCCTTTTTAAATATAGTTTGATAATCAATAAGGCTAATTTTAATGATTGATTATTTCAATAACATTTAGTAATACAGAAATTTGACAAGGAAAGTTTCCATCTCATGCAACCTTCAAAAATCAGAACTTCATTTTTAATTAATTCAACCTTTAGAAATATCTAGAGAAAAATAAGATTAGAATGGCATTATTTAATTATTGATAATAAAATTGCGGATTTGACATTCCTAATTTATTTAACATTTTGATAAATTTTATATAAAATTTATCAAAATGTTTGTGCTATATAGCACAAACAATAAAAAATTGAAGATTATTATTGAAATAATAATAAATAAAAATTGATGACTTTAAATAGTCTTTGAACAGTTTAAAAGCCTAAAACTTGTAGTTTAGATAAACATCAGTAGCGTGCGGTGACATTTGATGATAGGGAAGCCATGCTGGCCCCAGATAGAATCATTGGAAGCATTGTACGATATTTTGGTGCCGAGCTAAACCACGTGAAGGTGGTGGTCTGTAAAGCACATGTGCGAATGCCTGTAATCTGGCTGCTTTACACGATTCACATATTTTTGCCACGGAAGCTATCCCGTATTCGACAATACAGCGCTTCCATTGGAAATATGCATGTACGAATTTATATTCAAATATACAATAGTAATCTTATCATTGTTTTTCACATGTATATAAATTTGTAATAAGATATATAATGCAGTTATAAGGAAATATTAATTTTAATTAATTCAAAGTATGTTAAAATGTGAAAATAATTGCACAATACGTATTTATATTTTAGAAAATACAAGGAAAGTAGTGCTTTCACAGCTTCCACGGATGGCATGCCACTGATAAATATAAAGAAAATTTGGAAAAAATCAAATCAAACCCATAATCATTATATAGGTATTGTTGAATAAAAGCAGTTACAGTATATGTATGAAAATATATTATAATTCTCAAGTTACATATCAAAAAATAAAAAATTGGATCATAGGTTAAATGCAAGATAACAAAATTAGAAATAATTGTTTATATTTTAAAAATGTGTCCTATATTAGCTAATGGATTTTTATAACATTTTTATTATCTATCTCAATTCAAAATTTAATGCAATTCTCTGCATAATATGCAATGAAACCTATTTATAATACATTCTAATAGTACTGTTTATTATAAATAGAAAAATTTTAGACAGCAACTGATTGAATTCAAATGCAGTGCTACACACTGCATTTGATGATACAGCAACCACGTCCTCTACATTATGATTGAATTCATTTTATTCATGCTTTGTCCAGAGCAAAATACAATATATCAGATTTATATCACCCATTTTCAGAAATTTAATTAATTTCCTGACAACAAACAGCAAAACCCAAAAGAAATTGAGGTAAATCCAATTTATTTTTTTAATCCAGGTGTTTTGATCAAAATCCGGACTACCGAAGATCTTTCATATAATCTGATTTAACCGATTCATTAAAATATAAAAAAATTTAAAATAAAAAGAAACTGATAAAATTTTCATTATATAAAATGGAAGAAAAACAAAATAAATTATAACTATATTACAGTTTGTTTTCAAATATAAGTATAGAACAACATTACAACTAAACGACGACAGACACCGGCCAGACGGCCGAACGGTTTGGGTGGCAGCCCACCGATCTGCGGGACTGAATCCAGGCGAGTCAAAACTCCAGGAATTTTTCGAGAGGCATCCATCCGGATACGTCAGGCCCAGGCCAGGCAAAACCCACAATGGGCTCAATAAAAGCCTTTCTTAGTTCCCACAGGTCAAAAAGTTTAAAAAACAAAACAAAAGAAATTGGCAGACACTTATAGACCTTGAATAGTTATAACCAAACAACTACCAAATCCTTTCACGCACGACAATTTTTTAATCCAATTATTTTTTACTAAATGTTCATTAAAACACAGCTACTTAAAGAACACATTGATCTTTTAAAAAGTTAATAAATAACTTAATATTTAAAAAATGTGGAAATTTTATAATTATGCAAATTATATATTGTCTTGTAGTAGTAGTAGTACTTTATTATGGGTAATTTATATGTACAGTACAGTAGATGTATTTATATACAAATTTCCTACTCATTTTATATAATGGAAAATTTGAAAATTTAATAAAATATAACTTTAATTTTGAAATTTATTATTATTTCGCTTGATTTAATCACGGAAGTAATTGCAATTATGGAATTCCTTTAGGGAAACAGCTCAATGATCATCACGACGCTACATCATCATCATCATCATAAGATGATAATTAATTACCGTGTATTGAAATTAAAAGAAATATTTATAACGATTTAATAATACATCTTTAATTAAAACAAAAAAAATTTCATTCCAAATATCACTTAGTTAACTACTTTTCCTTTTATGGCTGTCACATACACTTATTTTTGACATTTTGTCTTAAAAGTAAGGCGATTGGCCATATTCAAATTAATCGAATTTCTCTAAGCCAATGGGAAGACTTAATATAAAATAGTTATCGGGATGACAGTTAATGAGAAATTAATCAACGAAACTCACCTGCTGTTTACACTTGGGACATGGCTTTGTCACCATCTTATTCTTTGGCATTTCGAATTATAAATTCATTATATTCCACTATAAAACAATATACGATATTATTTTAATAAGATAAAAGTAAATAACTGTGACCTCACCAAATGACATCATACGAGGAATTGATGCCAAATTGATTATTAACAAATACTTTGGGCTATTTTCGTTCACGTGACAAATGACTTCATTATTTAATTGTTCGCATTTTTTCTTACTACACTTAATCGACACTACTTTTAAATAAATAGAGATTTAAATGAAGTTTTTACTTTATTAATAAATAAAATTTCTTAGAAATTAAATTTTTCAAATAAATTCATTATTAAATTTATCGTTTAATTAATTAATTTTTTTTTGTATTAAAGTGGAATTTCCGGTTTAATCTATTAAGACATAATTAAATTTTATTTTCGTTTTGTTAATTTTTTTACGATTTATTATTTAAATATAATATTAATTTATATTGTAAATAAAAGTTTTCGTGAAAAATATTTTTCAAGCTAAGATGATGGTATGTGCAATATGTTTTATATTTATATAGAGAAAGACCGGTTGCTCTATATATATAAATATAAAACATGGTTCAAAATGGTATAAAACACGTGCTCTGGTTCTAAGTTACTTAAAGTATTTCCCACGTTAATCGAAACGCGAAGCCTAAACTGTGGCATCATCGCTCGAGGCCCTAAACTGTAATTTATGTGCAAATGACTGATTGGTGTACGTAAAAGAATATAGAAGTTTGAATTCGTTATACAGTAGACCCCCTATAACACTGTAGATAATTCCGTGTTATATGAATTCCGTGTTGTACGAATCACTTAGATTTTACAAATACGTGTGCCGGGCTGTGAACGGCTCACGTATTTGTAAAATCTAAGTGACTCGTACAACATGGAATTCTTATAACACGGAATTATCTAGTGTTATAGGGGGTCTACGTAGTATCACTTGCATTAGGTGTGCAAAGTTGGTTATAGGCTAGAAGGTGAGAGCGAGGAAAACAGTTTTAGTTGTTTGTACGAGATTGGTTAAATGATATTGTGCTGACCGTTGGATTGGTTGCCATGGGCTCGATGACAGGACTTATTTCGCACGACCTCCAATATAATCCGATCTCACCCCCTGTGATTTTTAGGGGATTCTGTAAAAGACCGAATATACGTGCCCCCGAAGCCTACTAACCTGTCCGAGTTGAGACATAGGATTGAAAAAGCTGTTGTTACCATCACCCAAGAAATGCTGGTTAAGAATTAGCCTACAGGGTGGATGTGTGTCGCGTGACAAACGGAGCTCACATTGAACACGTATAAGGTAAACTGGAGATGTTACTCTTTCTTTTCACGTTTGGTTTGTTATTCTTCGTTAACTTTAAAGTGTAATTAAACACTTTTAAAACTGCTATATTCTTTTATGTACACCCTGTATATATTTAAATTAGGATTTACATACTTCTGTATATTTTCGTGTGTATTCGTTCGAAGGATGGTTAATTTAATATGATACGATGTAAGGTAGGGGAGTCCATCAAGTTTAAACTATTATTTGTATGAAGCAACGAAATTGCTATTTTTCATAACGTAAACATTTATCTTTAAATTTAATTAGATTCTATAAAAAGTTACATGACCAATTTTAGAACAGCGTTTTTCAATCTTTTCTTTTTAATAATGGCACCCAAACTCGGTAATTTCTTCTTGCAACACTCCTACTTCTTTGTAATGCGTATTAAATTACTTGTACAATTAGTTTTAATTGTATACAGTATTTTCAATAAAATCATTATAAAAATGTTAAATAATACATTATTTTAATTACATACGAATATACAATAACTTTTAGTACACGTGGTATTGCTCATTAGTTTATTTCGTGGCACTCCTGAAGTGTCATTGCGGCACACCGTTGAAAATCGCGATCCTAGGAGATAGAGATCGAATTCAAACCATATTCCTCATAAAGACAATAATAACCGAACATTTGGAGAAATGGAAGGAAGAAAAAGTCAATTAGCTGACAGATTGGGGTCAAAATCTGATATATAAAGAAGTTTGTTATTTAGTTTGTACTTTATACATTTCGACAAGATTTGAACAAATGCAATGAAACTTTTCAGGAACCATCCCGTCATCCGAGAAAAGGTCAACCACTACTTTTGGTCCAATTAACTTCAACCCCTCTCTCGCAACAAGCCTTATTTCTATCCAACCAGCGGAATGGTGCATTCGAATAAGAAAAAATCCAGAAACGAGTTGCGTAACTTTCTCGGCAACAACATTCGAGACTGCGTGTGTCGCCATCTGTTATGATATTTTATTTTAAAAACTTTTTATATTTTTAATTATTATAAATGGCAAAAAGTTTAATTTTGAGGATAAAGACGAGTTTTATGTGGGTAGGACCGTTTGGATCGGATAAAAAAAGATTAAAGATGGCGTCTCCATGGTTAAAGGCAAGCTTATAGCTGAGAGCAAAGAAATATGTTTAACAGACTTATAAATGGTAAGTAAAAACATTATTACTAAAATATCCGATAAACTAAGATTTAAAAAAAAAGAAAAAAATATGTATTAAGAGACAATTTTGTGAGATTGTACGACAAGAATGCGTGGCGTAAGCTCCCCCATTTTGCCGTTTTGTGAGCAATTTCATTCACAGAACAAATGCGATTCGATCCTACTTGTATAGTTTCCGCCAACTAAAACACACGACAAAGACTGATCCGATCTTACTTTTCGTTTGGGATCGATCCCTCTGAGACGAAAAGTATACGCACCCCTATTCTAGTCGATACTAGATAACGTTTGTATACGTGGATAGAGATCGATCAGATCGCTACAGTTCGTTTTTTAGGGGAGACAAGGGACTAGGAGGAGTGGGATAAGTATTTTAATACAAATTCTGTGACTTTGTTATCCTTTTATGAACTGTCTCATTCTCCCATTTACTGTCCCACTTTTCCCTTTTATTAGAGAGGAGTGGGACACTCGTCACAGCATACAAAACTTATAATTTTTCTACCAAATGTTAGCATTGAAACTTCCAATACTTTTCAGGGGACAGGGATGGTTCAAACTAACAAGCTAAAAAAGAAAGATTCGAGATTTTTCTTTGCTTATGTTTATGGCATACTTTTCCCAAAAGTCCCATTCCTCCCACTCTTCCCTTATACGGGGATCAATAGTTTCGGATCAATGATTTTAAATGTATATGTATCCGAGGCGTTTGTTTAGCACATACTAAATGCTTTACGAATTATTACAGTAAAACCTGTCCGAAACGAAGTCCGAATAAAGAAAAACTGTCTAAACGGAAAAACTTGTTCGGAACGAAGCGATTTTCTATGTTAAAAAAGAACCCGTTCGAAAAGGAAAAAATATTCGATATCGTGCGATTCCAGTTTACACAGGTTTTACTGTTTTACAATTTTAAATTTTCAAAATTTTTTAAATAAAAATGTCTTTAACAATAAAATTTTTATATGCTTTTTACATTTCTTGAAAATACGATTTATTTTATTTAANATTGAATATGTGCTGTATTTTTTCTGTAAATAACATTTTATATATTATGCAATCATATGTTTGTGTTTGTTTCTGATACTTAAGAAATAACTTTTACCACATATGCCAATTTCACTGAAAATTTTGCATTCAGAATTAACTATTGTATTAAAGTTGAAAAATTATGAAAATCACAAATATTTTCAGATCAAATAATCTGTAGTGGATATAACTCAAATTTAAATCAGGCTTTAAAAGTTTTAAACTGAAAATTTTTCAAATTTCTTGTTTAAAATGTTAAAAATGTTAATTTAGTTTCAAAAGTTAATTTAAATTTGAATTGCAAACACCTGAAGTTCATTTTTTTTAACCCAATAAAGTATTATATTTCTGAAAATTTGTTAAAAACTTCTTAAATTAATTTGATTATATTAAATCTATTCTTAGAAGTAATGTTTTTAAGATATATTCTTTTCCTTTATTTTTTTTCAAAAATTATTATATATCAATTTATATAAGTGATTTTGGATTTTTAAAACTTCTTTTCAAAAATATTTGTTTAGTATGATTTTATAACATTTTGAACTTTATTTCTGTAGTAATATGCAATCTTTTGAATTATTAGAAATTTTATATAAAGCTATTCTTTGAGGACATTTTTTCTGTATTATTTCTTCTTTGTTTTTAGTTATTAATAACTAATCAATTGTTATTATTTAATTTTGATCAGGTTATAAAATGCATTTCTATATTTTAATTTCACATGATAGTTAATTTAGGAATGTTGTTTTAACTGTTCTTATAAATATTGTATTAGTGAATAAGGTTTATTTACTATGAATTTTATAAGTGAAGAATTATCCTGTTATTTTAAACTGGTTTATCTAATAAAATTTTTTTGTAATTACAGCATATGCATTTGCCGAGTTGATAGACAATTCATTAGGAGCAACAGTGCATAACACTGGAAATCGCCATATTGAATTAAGATTGGTAAGAGATTGTTATGAGCTAAAAGAATAATGAAGTATTTTTGAAATAACTGTTTGTGTTAATTTTATGAGATTATTATTAATTTTATTAAGACATTTAATATCTCCCTTATCTAATCCTTTGGATCCTTTTGGTCTTCCTCTCTTTTTTGATGCAACAGTACCTCCTTCTTCGCTATTAGAGCCTTCGCCTTCCAAATCATTAGCGCTACTACTGGTACTGTTTCCAGTTCGTTGACGAGATTTCCTCTGAAACGACTTTAATTGATTTTCTATTTGTAATGCATTAAAATAATTAGGTCTTTCTCTTCTTATCCTTTCTGTTCTCCTTCTCTTTATTTCTCTGTCTCCTTCGCCACCTTCATCTGAACCGCGTCGTGCACCTATTTTATGAATACTGACGGCACGACGGGCGACAAAAAACACATGACCGCAGGGACAGGCCTTACATGCAACAGGAACCTGATGCAATAAATACAAATCAAATATTTCAAAGGCATTAGTTTCTGCCTACTTTCAAAGCATTTATCTTAATCTTTATAATATTCAATAAAACATGTCAATAAATTTAATAATTTGATAACTGTATTTTTCTTATTCTTTTAATTGACGCACATATAATTTCAATATCCTAACTTTTTATACTTTTAAAATAATGAAAAATAATTTATCTTAAAATTAATTATTCAACAAAGCTGAATAAATACAACATAAGTGAATTTTTGCCAATCCTTTTCATAAACTAAAGGAATGATAGAATATTGTTTTTCAGAAATGCAAACAATTCTTTTTGAACAATTATTATTTTTAAATAATTGTTCAAGTAGAATTGTGCTTGTTCTCTTTGAAGTGATTCAAATACAGTGGAATCTGTTTATTGTTATCATTTACATCATCATCTATTGCAAGTTCCAAAGCATATAGGTTAAAATACATTTATAAAACTGTTTATTCTAACTGGAGTAAGTAACAGTTATCATTATCTTTAGATAAACAGATATTTTTAAGAGTAATCAATTCCTAAAAATATCTAAATCCAGTTACAAAAACAATTTATTAACTGAACTAATATTTTTGACCTTGTTTAAAGGTCATCCTTAGAAACCTGAGGATGGCGTTTAAACAAACTTTGTACTTTTATACTTTGTGCATCCAGTTTTTGCAGTGATTAATGATATTTTTCACATTTTTAAACTATCTTTCTATCACTTTGTTAGCTGTATGAATATACAACTAACAAAGTGTGAACTATTATTATCTTAATAAGTGCCTTAAATGTTAAATGTTTATCATCTTAATCACTATTTGCTTGCACTACAATAGTTTACATATTTCTTGTTTTATATGTGAGATGATGGTAGGAAAGGTGAACTTAGATCTGGTATGCTAGAAATCTAAAGGCCTAAGCCTATTTATGTTGATGCTCTTAAAAGAAAAAATAAAATAAAATGTTTTATCAAGTTAAAACATAATATGCCATTTTTATATTAAGAACAGACACAAATTTAATACTTTGAATCATTTTTAAAACTTACCAAATTAATATCTATGAACAAATTTTCAATTACCATATTTTTGTACATAAACACAGATAAGCTGTGGGCTCTAAGAAATACATTTAAAAGGGAAGGTTATGTAACAAGTCAGATTAAAGAACAATTTTAAATTGCAATCACAAACTTGCACCTATAGGGCAATGGCACTATATATCTGATATGCCATTGCAAATTATACTCACAAAAATATGATTAAACTTTTAAAAATTAACTTATAATAAAGCAATTAAATTAAAATTACCATGTTTACTGAAATGTAAGACACTTTTCAGGTTTAATCATCTCTGAAAATAAGGTGCTTCTCGATTTCAAAGTAATATGTCATAATTAATAATCTCTAGAACCATGCATCTTATTTCTCTGTCACTAATTCTATGGCATCATTTTAATGATTTTATTACATTAGTATTCATAACAGAGAATATTTAAGAGGCTAACTTTGAACAATCTTGTTAGTCTATTACAGTAACATTGCAAGTACTATAATGAAAATCCTAGTAAAAGTTATGCGCTGGTTTTTCGAAAAATGTTGTATTTCTGACACTAAACAAACCTTAGTATGATTGCATAAATTGAATCCAATATGAACATTGAATCTAATGTTGATAAGCATAGATTTTAGTTTACTAAAACTACAACTACATGCCTATATAACAATTAAAACTAATACTCAGGAACATGACTAAAACAACATTAGGGTTGATTCAGAAAGTAAAGGGGTTTTCAAAAAAGTAAGTTATACATAATGATATATAACTTACATTACTTGAAATAAATACTGAAAATTTCTGTTGACATAAATTTGATTCAAGTTGTCTATTTCAGGTGAGCATGTAGAAATTACGGCGTCTCTTAGATTTAAGTCAATATGGTACTTCATTTTAAAACAATTTTAAATAATAATAGCTTATTAAAAATTATAACTTTAACAATATAACTAATTTATAAAACTAACTTTATTAATATTAATATACATCAATATAATATAAACAATAACCAAAAATGTAATTAATCAATTAAATCTAAAGTACCAGAATTTCACACTGCATTTAAACTAACTTTTAACTGATTAAATTACAGAATTTAATCAATTAAAATTCAACACAATATGGTGGCCTAAGTAACAAAAGATGACAGACTGTCTATAGGGCATATTCCATAATTTAATTAATATTTGTGAAAAATGATAGTTAAACTAAGTTATGAAAATGTACCTATCAATACATTAATAATTATATTATTCTGCCTTTTTATCAAGATATTCCATATCATTTATTAAATATGTATTCAGTATTACATAGCCTGTATATATACACACATACTTGTATATATATTTTAAACTAATAAAATACAAAACTTAAAGGATGCCAATTTCTAAATAAGTGATAGTAATACATGAGACTATTAACAAAAAAACAAAAAAAATTATTTTGAAAACAACCAGCATACCATTATGATTCCTATACGTCATTTATGATTAATCACATATATATAACCTATTTTTCAATTGTTAATTGTAAATACAATAAAAATTAATTACATTTAAGTACTTTTACTGATTTTGATTTTAATCAAACATGAGTTTAGTTTCATTTTCTCATTTATAATTTAAAACCTAAAAAACAGGTTAGATTATTACATCACCATTAATTAATATGCAAAGATAATCTATTAGCTTACTTCTAGGAATAAATATTAAACTTCTCGGCAAGTTAAAGAAAAAGAACAGTTTTTCACTTTTAAATGCCAATTCAAAGTTTATTCAAGCTGACTAACAGCCATTAATATCAGTAATATTGCTATTCTATGCATTTTGTGAGAAACACTGTCATATTACTAAATTTATCTGAATAATAAATTCCTTTTTAAATATAGTTTGATAATCAATAAGGCTAATTTTAATGATTGATTATTTCAATAACATTTAGTAATACAGAAATTTGACAAGGAAAGTTTCCATCTCATGCAACCTTCAAAAATCAGAACTTCATTTTTAATTAATTCAACCTTTAGAAATATCTAGAGAAAAATAAGATTAGAATGGCATTATTTAATTATTGATAATAAAATTGCGGATTTGACATTCCTAATTTATTTAACATTTTGATAAATTTTATATAAAATTTATCAAAATGTTTGTGCTATATAGCACAAACAATAAAAAATTGAAGATTATTATTGAAATAATAATAAATAAAAATTGATGACTTTAAATAGTCTTTGAACAGTTTAAAAGCCTAAAACTTGTAGTTTAGATAAACATCAGTAGCGTGCGGTGACATTTGATGATAGGGAAGCCATGCTGGCCCCAGATAGAATCATTGGAAGCATTGTACGATATTTTGGTGCCGAGCTAAACCACGTGAAGGTGGTGGTCTGTAAAGCACATGTGCGAATGCCTGTAATCTGGCTGCTTTACACGATTCACATATTTTTGCCACGGAAGCTATCCCGTATTCGACAATACAGCGCTTCCATTGGAAATATGCATGTACGAATTTATATTCAAATATACAATAGTAATCTTATCATTGTTTTTCACATGTATATAAATTTGTAATAAGATATATAATGCAGTTATAAGGAAATATTAATTTTAATTAATTCAAAGTATGTTAAAATGTGAAAATAATTGCACAATACGTATTTATATTTTAGAAAATACAAGGAAAGTAGTGCTTTCACAGCTTCCACGGATGGCATGCCACTGATAAATATAAAGAAAATTTGGAAAAAATCAAATCAAACCCATAATCATTATATAGGTATTGTTGAATAAAAGCAGTTACAGTATATGTATGAAAATATATTATAATTCTCAAGTTACATATCAAAAAATAAAAAATTGGATCATAGGTTAAATGCAAGATAACAAAATTAGAAATAATTGTTTATATTTTAAAAATGTGTCCTATATTAGCTAATGGATTTTTATAACATTTTTATTATCTATCTCAATTCAAAATTTAATGCAATTCTCTGCATAATATGCAATGAAACCTATTTATAATACATTCTAATAGTACTGTTTATTATAAATAGAAAAATTTTAGACAGCAACTGATTGAATTCAAATGCAGTGCTACACACTGCATTTGATGATACAGCAACCACGTCCTCTACATTATGATTGAATTCATTTTATTCATGCTTTGTCCAGAGCAAAATACAATATATCAGATTTATATCACCCATTTTCAGAAATTTAATTAATTTCCTGACAACAAACAGCAAAACCCAAAAGAAATTGAGGTAAATCCAATTTATTTTTTTAATCCAGGTGTTTTGATCAAAATCCGGACTACCGAAGATCTTTCATATAATCTGATTTAACCGATTCATTAAAATATAAAAAAATTTAAAATAAAAAGAAACTGATAAAATTTTCATTATATAAAATGGAAGAAAAACAAAATAAATTATAACTATATTACAGTTTGTTTTCAAATATAAGTATAGAACAACATTACAACTAAACGACGACAGACACCGGCCAGACGGCCGAACGGTTTGGGTGGCAGCCCACCGATCTGCGGGACTGAATCCAGGCGAGTCAAAACTCCAGGAATTTTTCGAGAGGCATCCATCCGGATACGTCAGGCCCAGGCCAGGCAAAACCCACAATGGGCTCAATAAAAGCCTTTCTTAGTTCCCACAGGTCAAAAAGTTTAAAAAACAAAACAAAAGAAATTGGCAGACACTTATAGACCTTGAATAGTTATAACCAAACAACTACCAAATCCTTTCACGCACGACAATTTTTTAATCCAATTATTTTTTACTAAATGTTCATTAAAACACAGCTACTTAAAGAACACATTGATCTTTTAAAAAGTTAATAAATAACTTAATATTTAAAAAATGTGGAAATTTTATAATTATGCAAATTATATATTGTCTTGTAGTAGTAGTAGTACTTTATTATGGGTAATTTATATGTACAGTACAGTAGATGTATTTATATACAAATTTCCTACTCATTTTATATAATGGAAAATTTGAAAATTTAATAAAATATAACTTTAATTTTGAAATTTATTATTATTTCGCTTGATTTAATCACGGAAGTAATTGCAATTATGGAATTCCTTTAGGGAAACAGCTCAATGATCATCACGACGCTACATCATCATCATCATCATAAGATGATAATTAATTACCGTGTATTGAAATTAAAAGAAATATTTATAACGATTTAATAATACATCTTTAATTAAAACAAAAAAAATTTCATTCCAAATATCACTTAGTTAACTACTTTTCCTTTTATGGCTGTCACATACACTTATTTTTGACATTTTGTCTTAAAAGTAAGGCGATTGGCCATATTCAAATTAATCGAATTTCTCTAAGCCAATGGGAAGACTTAATATAAAATAGTTATCGGGATGACAGTTAATGAGAAATTAATCAACGAAACTCACCTGCTGTTTACACTTGGGACATGGCTTTGTCACCATCTTATTCTTTGGCATTTCGAATTATAAATTCATTATATTCCACTATAAAACAATATACGATATTATTTTAATAAGATAAAAGTAAATAACTGTGACCTCACCAAATGACATCATACGAGGAATTGATGCCAAATTGATTATTAACAAATACTTTGGGCTATTTTCGTTCACGTGACAAATGACTTCATTATTTAATTGTTCGCATTTTTTCTTACTACACTTAATCGACACTACTTTTAAATAAATAGAGATTTAAATGAAGTTTTTACTTTATTAATAAATAAAATTTCTTAGAAATTAAATTTTTCAAATAAATTCATTATTAAATTTATCGTTTAATTAATTAATTTTTTTTTGTATTAAAGTGGAATTTCCGGTTTAATCTATTAAGACATAATTAAATTTTATTTTCGTTTTGTTAATTTTTTTACGATTTATTATTTAAATATAATATTAATTTATATTGTAAATAAAAGTTTTCGTGAAAAATATTTTTCAAGCTAAGATGATGGTATGTGCAATATGTTTTATATTTATATAGAGAAAGACCGGTTGCTCTATATATATAAATATAAAACATGGTTCAAAATGGTATAAAACACGTGCTCTGGTTCTAAGTTACTTAAAGTATTTCCCACGTTAATCGAAACGCGAAGCCTAAACTGTGGCATCATCGCTCGAGGCCCTAAACTGTAATTTATGTGCAAATGACTGATTGGTGTACGTAAAAGAATATAGAAGTTTGAATTCGTTATACAGTAGACCCCCTATAACACTGTAGATAATTCCGTGTTATATGAATTCCGTGTTGTACGAATCACTTAGATTTTACAAATACGTGTGCCGGGCTGTGAACGGCTCACGTATTTGTAAAATCTAAGTGACTCGTACAACATGGAATTCTTATAACACGGAATTATCTAGTGTTATAGGGGGTCTACGTAGTATCACTTGCATTAGGTGTGCAAAGTTGGTTATAGGCTAGAAGGTGAGAGCGAGGAAAACAGTTTTAGTTGTTTGTACGAGATTGGTTAAATGATATTGTGCTGACCGTTGGATTGGTTGCCATGGGCTCGATGACAGGACTTATTTCGCACGACCTCCAATATAATCCGATCTCACCCCCTGTGATTTTTAGGGGATTCTGTAAAAGACCGAATATACGTGCCCCCGAAGCCTACTAACCTGTCCGAGTTGAGACATAGGATTGAAAAAGCTGTTGTTACCATCACCCAAGAAATGCTGGTTAAGAATTAGCCTACAGGGTGGATGTGTGTCGCGTGACAAACGGAGCTCACATTGAACACGTATAAGGTAAACTGGAGATGTTACTCTTTCTTTTCACGTTTGGTTTGTTATTCTTCGTTAACTTTAAAGTGTAATTAAACACTTTTAAAACTGCTATATTCTTTTATGTACACCCTGTATATATTTAAATTAGGATTTACATACTTCTGTATATTTTCGTGTGTATTCGTTCGAAGGATGGTTAATTTAATATGATACGATGTAAGGTAGGGGAGTCCATCAAGTTTAAACTATTATTTGTATGAAGCAACGAAATTGCTATTTTTCATAACGTAAACATTTATCTTTAAATTTAATTAGATTCTATAAAAAGTTACATGACCAATTTTAGAACAGCGTTTTTCAATCTTTTCTTTTTAATAATGGCACCCAAACTCGGTAATTTCTTCTTGCAACACTCCTACTTCTTTGTAATGCGTATTAAATTACGTGTACAATTAGTTTTAATTGTATACAGTATTTTCAATAAAATCATTATAAAAATGTTAAATAATACATTATTTTAATTACATACGAATATACAATAACTTTTAGTACACGTGGTATTGCTCATTAGTTTATTTCGTGGCACTCCTGAAGTGTCATTGCGGCACACCGTTGAAAATCGCGATCCTAGGAGATAGAGATCGAATTCAAACCATATTCCTCATAAAGACAATAATAACCGAACATTTGGAGAAATGGAAGGAAGAAAAAGTCAATTAGCTGACAGATTGGGGTCAAAATCTGATATATAAAGAAGTTTGTTATTTAGTTTGTACTTTATACATTTCGACAAGATTTGAACAAATGCAATGAAACTTTTCAGGAACCATCCCGTCATCCGAGAAAAGGTCAACCACTACTTTTGGTCCAATTAACTTCAACCCCTCTCTCGCAACAAGCCTTATTTCTATCCAACCAGCGGAATGGTGCATTCGAATAAGAAAAAATCCAGAAACGAGTTGCGTAACTTTCTCGGCAACAACATTCGAGACTGCGTGTGTCGCCATCTGTTATGATATTTTATTTTAAAAACTTTTTATATTTTTAATTATTATAAATGGCAAAAAGTTTAATTTTGAGGATAAAGACGAGTTTTATGTGGGTAGGACCGTTTGGATCGGATAAAAAAAGATTAAAGATGGCGTCTCCATGGTTAAAGGCAAGCTTATAGCTGAGAGCAAAGAAATATGTTTAACAGACTTATAAATGGTAAGTAAAAACATTATTACTAAAATATCCGATAAACTAAGATTTAAAAAAAAAGAAAAAAATATGTATTAAGAGACAATTTTGTGAGATTGTACGACAAGAATGCGTGGCGTACGCTCCCCCATTTTGCCGTTTTGTGAGCAATTTCATTCACAGAACAAATGCGATTCGATCCTACTTGTATAGTTTCCGCCAACTAAAACACACGACAAAGACTGATCCGATCTTACTTTTCGTTTGGGATCGATCCCTCTGAGACGAAAAGTATACGCACCCCTATTCTAGTCGATACTAGATAACGTTTGTATACGTGGATAGAGATCGATCAGATCGCTACAGTTCGTTTTTTAGGGGAGACAAGGGACTAGGAGGAGTGGGATAAGTATTTTAATACAAATTCTGTGACTTTGTTATCCTTTTATGAACTGTCTCATTCTCCCATTTACTGTCCCACTTTTCCCTTTTATTAGAGAGGAGTGGGACACTCGTCACAGCATACAAAACTTATAATTTTTCTACCAAATGTTAGCATTGAAACTTCCAATACTTTTCAGGGGACAGGGATGGTTCAAACTAACAAGCTAAAAAAGAAAGATTCGAGATTTTTCTTTGCTTATGTTTATGGCATACTTTTCCCAAAAGTCCCATTCCTCCCACTCTTCCCTTATACGGGGATCAATAGTTTCGGATCAATGATTTTAAATGTATATGTATCCGAGGCGTTTGTTTAGCACATACTAAATGCTTTACGAATTATTACAGTAAAACCTGTCCGAAACGAAGCCCGAATAAAGAAAAACTGTCTAAACGGAAAAACTTGTTCGGAACGAAGCGATTTTCTATGTTAAAAAAGAACCCGTTCGAAAAGGAAAAAATATTCGATATCGTGCGATTCCAGTTTACACAGGTTTTACTGTTTTACAATTTTAAATTTTCAAAATTTTTTAAATAAAAATGTCTTTAACAATAAAATTTTTATATGCTTTTTACATTTCTTGAAAATACGATTTATTTTATTTAAAAAAATATATATTTGTATACAATTTCGTGCAAGTCCCAAAGTTTTAACATTTTGTANCGCGATTGACTGATTGCCCCTGGATGTCGGCTTCTTACAGAAACACAGCTTCCCTATCATCAAATGTCACGGCACGCCCCTGTTATTCTTTACTTCACAACCGGGTGCATAGGTAGACACTGGCCAGCTTCATTCTCTATTCAGGAATATCTTACCCACCCACACGCGTTTCGGGCATACCACCCTTTCCCGTCGGCTACATAATAAAATATGAACACCTACTTTCTATATTACAAAATTTTTTATATAATGATAAATTACAATGTACCTTTTTCTTTAACGCGTTTAATAATGAGGCGCTAACTAATACACATTATTTTTTAAAATGTATATATTTACAATTAAAATTCTCAGACAGTGCACAGAACGGCACTTAACCTTCTTTCTTTCGTCGGTAGTTCGTGTGGAGTTTTACGACTACGCACCTTTATTACGAGAGACTGGTGGGTGATGGCTACGCGACCGAAGAGCTGGCATAAAATAGCCTAATCGCGTGCGGGAAAAAATGCCTTTCGGAAGGACTTTTATAGGAAATTGGCCCCTATTTGGGCGTCGTCCGCGAAGAGAAAAGCCGGAAAACTTCGAGCTGCCAGCCTGTTCAATCGAGGCGCGAACCCACAACTGAACTTCCAGCAGTTAGGGTCTGGTTATCGCCTCTACGAGAGCGGACGGAGTCCACTCGGCCACCGGTGGGCTCGGTAACTTCTTTTATCTACGCTAACTTCTACTAGTGACGTCGTTGTTTTCGTCTCGTCGTACGATTTGCAAGATGGCTGCTCGTGTTCGACTAAACGTATTTTATTATAACAATGGCAAAGTTATCCTCTCATTCTAAAATGTAAAATTATCATTTGTCGGTATAACAGATTCCGAATACATTTTAACGGAAGATAGCGGTCCATTTCGTCGATTACAATTAATAATTGAATCGTTAATTTCATCACGATCCGACGTCCGATACAATCCTCCACGAGTAAAATTGATAAAAATATAATGACTGTAAAAAGTGTAAAATATGATTAATATTTTTATCTTAGAAAAATGAGTTTTAACGGGTGTTTTTACAGAACAGTGAAGTTTTGTATGGCGTGTAATCTTGTCCTACTGAGTGTAAAAATATTTTATAATATAGGAGAAGCTCGGGTGTCCGATCCTACCCGACCGTCCCCTAATATAGATAATACGTGTTCGTATTGTATTACGTAGCCGACGGAAAAGGGGCGTGTGGGTATAAGATATTCCCGAATAGAGAGCGATGTCAAAGACGCCCAGTGTCTACCTATGCACCCAGTTGTGAACTAAAGAATTTTGTAATCGATTTATTTTATCTATACAGGATATAGAGATAAGGTGTTATTGTAGAAATTATCTATAAAGGCCATTTCGCACCAAAGTTTTACGCGTTTTGCACGCGACGTGCTCGATATTTTCAGAAAATAGTTCTTTTTTTAATTTAAACGAATATATTCACGTGGCCCGAAGATCCTTGCGGTTCTCTATGGTGGTCTTTTAGGGGAAACTCGCCCCTCTTCGGGCGTTAAGAATAAATTCCAATAATTACAACAAACAAATCTCGATATAGCGCCAGAGTGTAGGCTAATTACGAACGGATCTTCCTCATAAATATTAAACGCGAATTACTAATTGTACGTTTATTGTAATCACAAGATACATGATCCAAACTGCCGGACTTTTGTGTGGACCTCGTTACTATATACACTCAATGGATTTACAGCCGATTTCAGATTGGAACGAATGGCGGCACTAAATCGAAGTTCTGGCCGTAATTTAGTAATATCTCAAGAAGGAATCTGTTGACTTTGTGAAGTCGAAGAAGACACGTTCTTTTCTAAAATATGTATTAACCTCTCCCAAAATAAACGTTGTCCCGCGGGTGTAACCGCCCAACTCAAGTAGGTTTTCGTTTTGAGCAGATACTGAACAATCCTCGACATCTTTTCTTTGGAAATTGTGTGTAATTTAATGATCAAGAGATTATCCTGCTGTTCGACCGCCATCTTACTAATGGCCATGTTGAGTTCCCACATGCACCACTGACTCTGAAGAAAATCTTCGGTTAAGATGGCGATAAACATTTTACTCTTGTCAATTCCCTCGAAAATATTATCTGTGATATTTTTCCCGGCTTCGAAGTCTCTTTCGTGTACACAAAACCGAAATCTGGTCTCTAATCGGGGTATAAGTTCCTTCTTAACCCAGTAACAATCCTTGTCACAATAGGATATAAATGCATCGTACAAATGGAATTTCTTTCTTTGTAAGGGTTTGTTCCAGTTTTTTAGATGGCATCGCGTGACGTACCATCGATACCTTAAATACCACCTAAAGTTATAAATAAACCAGCTCGCGGTAACAATTAAAATAAATAATATCCCTAAGGCAACCCCCAATGGTACATAATTAAAGGAACTATTCTCCTGGCATCTTAATGGTACGGAACTGTTTACAACGTACGGTTCACCTCGGAACGTATACAGACACTTGTATTCCTCAACCCCTACATTGAAATGCTGTATCCAATCTTGCAAATTAATTATCTCGCAGTCGGAGCAATTGTAAGGATTATTGCTGAAGTCGCCATAGTCTAAGGTTAGTAGATCTTGTAACATGGGCGTACTTATTGTCTTAATCTCATTGTTTTGAAAATAAACCGTCTTTAAACTGTTAGATTTGGGAAATGCTCGCCATCTCCACCCCACAATTTTATTATAACTCATGTCCATGTACGTTAAATTCGATAAATCGATAATTAACCATGGCCAAATCTCGCAGAGTGAATTGTATTGGAATTCAATTATCTGCAAGTTGTGCAGAGATAAAAATGGATGATTGTGCGGATAAATTTTGATGTTGTTGCGAGATAAATTGATGTAAACAAGAGAAAACAATTCTGCAAACGTGTCGTTCACAATTTCAGACAGGAAATTGGTAGACAGATCTAGACGGAGCAAGGAATGCAAACCACTGAATGAATATGGCTCTATTGTTTCCAATTGTGCGTTTTTTAAAGCCAAATACTTCAATTCCACCAATCCTACAAAAGTGTGAGATTTCAATTCGACAATATTGTTATTTGACAAATCCATTACTTGTAGAGATACCATTATATTGAATTTAATCTCTCTTAAATCGAAAATTTCATTTTTGTAGCCATTGTACGACATGTCCAACTCTCGCAACGTTTCCATCCTCAAAACTGTCGAGGGCACCGTTAATAGATTGTTTGCTGATAGATTTAACGTTTTCAGTTGGGTAAACACTTGAAATGCACTCGGGGCTATGGTTGAAACTGAGCTTCTTCTCAAGTCTAGTAGTGTCAGATTATGTAAGGAATCAAAAAGATTTTCGTCAATCGTTGAAAAAACATTTTGACCAAAGTCCCCATTGTCTTCCTCGTTACCCAAGTACAGTTCTTGCAGTTGTGATTTCTCCATTTTTAGACTTAAAGTCTCCGATTTCAACTGATTGTTGTTCAGATCTAATCTCCTTAGACTCGCCAACGATGTCAAATTAACCTTTTTTAATCCACAGTTTCCTAATTTTAACGTTTCCAAGTTTCCCAGGACCAAATCTTCAGGTTCTATACTCGAAAAATTGTTGCCGCTCAGGTCTAAATAGTACAAGTTGTGTAGAGGAAGTAAAGCTTGATGGAGTGATGATAATGCATCGAACCTATTGTTCTTCAGAATTAATACTTTCAGGCGAATACAGTCGGAGAAGACGAAAGGGGGCAAAGTTTTTAGTTGATTGTCACTTAAATCTAGTTCAGTTAAGGTTCGAAGTTGCTCGAACACGGTGGGGGGTAGTTCGGTGATGGAAACGTTCAATAGAAGCAAAGTGTTTATCCTTGTGAAATTAAGGAAACTGTTTTCGGTTAGCTGAAAATGGGGTGAATTGGATATGCATAAATACAAAATGGAATTACTTATGTGCTGAAATATATTAATATCGACATTTTGGAGGCAAGTTTCGGTGTTAACAGTAGTGGACTCAATATGCTGCGAGCTGGAATTAGTTATGGAAGACTTGATATTGATGATATGCCCTAAAATAATCACGCAACTGATCGCTTCGGATTTCAGTTTCATCATCTGCAAATATATATTAAAAATTAAATGTAATTATTAATAATTTAGTGTATTATCTATTATCTAATAGTCATACACACAAATGAACACCTTTAGATTATACTGCCATCCACAATTAAACCCATTATGAGCGGATCTAATCCGAAATACGTATGAGGAATGGAGAATACCTCACCTTAATGACTCGTGCTAAATTAGGGGGTTTGAACCCGAATTCTCCGCGTGTACAACAAGTTTATAATCAACAAGTAAGTTAATTTATGTAATTAATTTCATACAGTTAAGGCTATAAGGCCAGTCGCAAACTTCTCTTAAGGGTGCATCTTTAATTCGACACTGGCTCATTTGTATACAATCAAAAAGTAATTAATTTATAAAATACAAAAGCCAACGTTGAATGTTAACAATGTAAAATGTTTACCTGTCTTCAGGGTCCGAGAGAAAGAACTGTCGGTACAATAACCATTTTGGGTCTCCTTTCGGAGACTCTGCTTATACAAATAACATAATGAAATGGGCTGTCAAACGGGCTCTACGAGAGGGGTTCCACCCCCTCTCGTAAGACCCGTTTGTATGATTACGTAATAAGATATTGTCTTTTATTGTATGACTCTAAATAAGATAATATATAGAGTTATACAATAAAAGACTGGATAATTTGTCATATTCTAAAACAATTCCACCCAATAATAATAGAAAAGATAACGCCTATTTCATGACTTAAGCAGAATTTAATCGATGGACAATGAACAACTTCATTATAAATATAGGAAAGTTGGACTGGTGGGATGAGGCAACACGACACTCGGGCAATCCGCGAAGGGGAGGACACTACGAGAAAACCACCCCTATTTAAGTGTAAGACACGCGAAGAAAGCTAGGAAAAACTCCACGTGGGCCCCATCTCACCTCCCACAAGACCCAATTTTATATAATGTATATTTTCCGTATTTCTCCCCCTCTAAAACTTTGTTTTATTTATTCTAAATTTCAGTTTGTCTAGTAATTAAATAATTTCAAATTTCTTGGATCGGTGAATGAAAATTTCAAAAGAATATTTTGTAATTCAATTGCGAAATAATTCGCGTTTATTTTTACGGATTTACATAGATAAATATTCTCAATCAAAAGTTTGCGCAACTGATAAAGAATCTATCGACGAAATCCGGAAGAGTTCAACGCTAAAAGCGGGGAGGGCTGGCCAAAAAGTCGGTTAACCGAGACTCGCATCGGTCGCGGCTATTGTTATCGAGTTACGAATAAATCGCGGTTAACTAAATTTTAGTCCGTTTTGTATATTAAACGTAAGGTCTACTTTATGTGTAGCGCTAAACGGGGGGAGCGCTGTAAGCGGGTTATCGCACGATGACTAAGAATATTCAACTGTTACTCTCCATTCGTTTTACTCGGAATATAATATAAAGGATAGAAAATTGTCGAGAAGACATTAAGATAATTGAATAATCTCGAACCCCGTGATAACGCGTCACTCGATATTAGGAAATTGCTCGAATAAAAAAAACGAGTGGAATTTTATAATAGTTGTTAGGCTTGGATCTTAAATATGGTCCTGTCTATTGAAGTATGAATGCAATAGTCTAATTGTTAATATTAGTTCTAGATGTAGAGGGTGGCCCAAAAATTAGTTAACCGAGATTTGTATCGAATAGTTCGCTTCCAACGAAACGAATGACGCGGCATGCGGCTGTATAGCGGTTAACTGAATTTTGGGCCATCTTTTGTTTATGAATATATTGTATCAAGACTCGCGGATAATTCGGTTTGCGGATTATCCGTGCATCTTGACATTAGTAAAATGTTATAGTGTCCTACAATACAACTATTGTGTTTATGACTTGAATGTATGTGATGTATGTGAATGAAGCTGATTTTTCCTATAAAAACAGATTAAATAATTATTTTATTTAATAAAAAAATAAACAAATTGTAAAACCCTTACTTTACTGAAGGGCCCTATCACAAAAGGGCCTTGTGATTTTCCTAAAAATCCTGTAATGCGAGGTCTGCTATCCTCGTAAATCCCGTGAAAGGACTCTACTGATCCCTCGTGACAGGGTTCTTTATCCCAGTGATCTTCGTAATTCTTGAGGCCCACTGTAATCCTCATAAATCGTGTGATGTGACCCTGCTGATCTCCTGCGATAGAAAACCATCAAATTTACAAGAGCTTCAAATACGATTGTTACAAATTATTCATTCCGTTATAGTTCTTGCGTATTACAAATCTTTTTAAATAAAATTAAGTAATTGGGGTTTTTTTTAATTGTGCGATGCCCTTTACAAACTGCGACTCGTCACTCTTCCCCCTTTTAAATGTAAATTTATACAATTTGAAGTCCGTTACGGATACTTAATACGAATACTTAAAAAGGGCCCTATCAGTCCACGCTTCTAAAGAGTGAACTGATAATACTGGTAATGTCCTAGGCAAAAGTCTGGAGTACTGTACCTATGCCTTTTTTGTTCTTTGATTTAAAAGCGTAAAACTGAATTTAAAACATGCAAAATCCACCCCTTCCTGTGATTAAATTCCCCATTCACCTGTATATAGCGGTGTGTCAGATGTATCAGTCTTCCACCCCGTCACGAACGGGCCTTTGGGGCCTCGGTTTCGATGACTTCCTTCCCACAAGTTATAACTCGACTCAATTATATAACACTTAAACGTAATTAAAACGAATTATAATTAGAACCGACCTTTTTTTGTGTTCGTCCATTGTGGAATAAAAACAAAACGTCAGGAAAGGGAGGAAAATGTGCGTTTGCTTTCCAGGAAATTGTATAATCCCTCCTTAACACGTAACTCGTGTTGCAATCTTCGATCGTAAAACCGATTCGATTCGATAACACGTAACTGTGTTTTCGGTTACTTTGAATTTTAAATAATATATTGTATTATTATCTTAAAAACTGTGTTTACAAATTGCCCGTATCGGTAACACGCTATTGGACGTTACAGCGATTTGTCAGCGTCACACCTAATACATATGTATACTGTACATTTTTATACATTTTTATATACTGTAATAGAAAGTAAACACATCTATCTGTTTTTAAAAAAACCAGATAGATGTGTTAGAGCATCCTGTGTTACGTATTAATTAAATGCAGTTTATAGCGAGGCCCTATCGCGGAGGCCTCACATCTTAGTGTCGATTTCTCGGTGGCCTCTTCCGATTTAAATATATTTATGGTATTTTGATTTTTTTTTAAACTCTCGTGGGCACTAAGAGGGCCTTTTTTAGGGCCCGTCTGTTTTACTACGGGTTGGGCCAGCTCCACACTAGGTTTGGTTTGGTTTTATTTGTTTGTATTCGTCACCGAATGTTCGGTAGGTTTATCCACTCGGGCACTGGTGGGCCCACAAGTAATTCGAAGGTCTTTCCACCCCCGACTCTCCGAACCACGTATTATTTTATAAGAAGTTTAAACAAGAGTTAAAAATAGTTTTGCTAAAGTAAATAATTTTCAAAAGGTGTTTAAATAGACTTTCGTTTTAGAAAAGTGGTGTTTGAACTAGAAGAAAAACAACTTCAGTTGACGAATCTCACATTTTAACTCATTTTTTGCTCACGAGAAGTCCAAATTATTACTGTTTTGGGGAGGGGGAAGGTTTCCAAGTTTCTTGGAGACCTATTTTCGATTTGGGACACATTTTTAATATTTGAAACAGAACATATTCAGGATTTTGAGAACACGATTCTTGGAAGTCACATCTTTCGAGGCACCCCGGAATATGTCTGTATCCGAATTTTAAGACAATGGGCACTCCCTGTTTGCGGAGGATTTTATTCGATTACCTTAGAATTACCTTAGTTACAAAATTGATTGCTGATATCGAGAGAGTCCCGCAGCACCACGAGCACTCCCGCGGGTGTGCTCGTACCCACTTGAAATTTCGTTTGGTGTCTAGATCTTGTTTAATTCCTTACTATCAATTTCTGTTGTGCGGCAATAAATATTTATAAATGGTCTTTATTAAATTCCACTTTTAGGAAGTGTAGTAACTGTTACGGTTACCACATTTCCTAACGGCATTTCGAGAAACGCCTTTATTTAGGCCATCCGCCGTCCAACAATTGAGCCTTTAATGCACCTCGACTTAGAATGATGCGACTAAAACTTCTTCCAGAAGGGGCCTTCCGAGAGAACTTCCTACCGATAAATTGGTACTCGTTTAGGTGTTAGGCACGTGGAGAACACCGGCCTAACCATCGTTATCAAGAACAAATACACCAGTGCTTCTAAGCAATAAGCTTTATGAGGCCTTCTTAATACCAACAAGGGACACGTAATTGCAGTCGTTACTTGATATTGATGCGGTAATTATACAGAAAGTGCGTATCCTTAATAGTTTTACCATTTGGGTCGCACGGTAGGGTGCCCCAGTAGTAAAACAATAACTATTTTTCCTAAAAGTATCTTTTCTTTTTTAATTAATTACGAAATTCTTACATTATATGTTTGGGTGTCCTTCGAAATAAATTGTGACATATACAAAAACTTTATTTGGGTGTCAATGAATGACACTTGTTAATATATATTTATTTATTTAAATATTATTTGGAGTAATTATCTGAGATGATTTGGTACAATAAGATGCTGAATAAGGATTACGATGCTATTTTCTTTTGACGTATTACCTCTCATTTGTAATTTAGTCTTTCGTATTTTTGTATTATACGACAATAAATCGGTTGACTGTATACAACTCGGTACGGTGTGGATGTTTAGATCATTTAGTTTGTTCAGAACAATTTTTTCTATTATAATAGGAGAAATTGTTCCGTGTCTGTGTCAAATTCTACGAAGCGTCATTACGATATACTTGGCGGGTGGAAAGTAACTAGGCATTGAGAAATCGCTATAATTTTCGTAATAATCGTGTAATCATAATAAAAATGCGCATGCTCGTGTACATCAATCAGTTGAATTTTATTATTCCCGCATCGGAGGTGTGACAGTGATCGAGAGAGACCACACGCGCAAAGGCAAAAAAAAAAAAAAAATGGCCGACTGCCTATCTGTTCGTAGGTGCAAATTGTTGCACGCTACGAAGTGTGGAAATCGGTGGTTTCTTTGCAGAAATAGGCATATGGAGAAGGGACGTCGTGCCACGATCCGTTCGGAAAGAATCGGATTCGGTTGCGGACGCACGGAAGTGTGCCCGTCCAGCCATATCGCGATTCGAGGAAAACGTGTCGTAGGTGGATGACGCCTGTGCCTACATTGTCCTTTAAGGTATGCATCCGTATTTCCGTTTAATAAAGTATGCATCGAATAAATTTCATCACCATTGCTTTAGGAATATAGAAACTATAGTGATTTCTCAATGCCTAGTTACTTCCAACCCTTACAGTATGTATCTACAATATTACAATTACAGTATACCGTGTAATGTTTCATATAAAGACAATTACATAAAGTTCAGTTATAGTAAATTCTGTATAAATCTATACCAAGCAGTGCCGGCCCGAGGCAAGTTTTAGGATGGAGCGAGATCCTATTATGGCGCCCCTTTGGTCAGTAGCGTAGCGAACATAACTGGCGCTCGGGGCACGACACTTTATTGGCGCACCCTCCAGAAACACATATAGTACGTCTTGGAGACCATTTGGGCGCCCCTCTGCGAGTAGCGCCCGGTGCTTGATACACCCCCTTGCACCCCCTCGCTACGCCACTGCCCTTGGTTGCCCCAAATTTATACCCTTTAATTTTCTTTACCACTGAGGCGCCCCCTAGGACTTAGCGCCTGGAGCGGTTGCTCCTTTCGCCCTATGGTAGGGCCGGCTCTGATACCAAGTACCAGGGGCACCGTACATTGGGGCACGCACTTTTTTCTTATCTCAATCTTCCTTCTCCCATTCAAATCTTCATCATCCAATACAATTATTTGTGACGTGTAATTCGGTCGAATTACACGTCACAAATACAGTAATTGTAAACAACGAGACGTCAAAAACTCGTCATTCCGATTAGTCGATCCGACAATCGTCCGTAATTGCCGATAGAGGCGCTGGCGGTCGAATTGTAGATGAAAGAGAATTCGCGAGCGAAATCGATCAAATTTGGGAATTAATTTGAATCTTATTGGCTCGAATCTTGTTCTCGGCGAGGAACCACACCGGAAATACGTCACGCAGGTAAAATTGTAGATAAAATCGATGGTTATCGTAAATAATGGTGATTTTTACCTGCGCACGTGAGTCAAAACTGGGTTCTAGAGTGTTTATCGTCACTTTAAATGCATAATTATTCATTTAAATTGATCCGTCTTATTTAATTTTATTGCTAATAATTTAGTTCCAGAAAGTAATGTTGTCTAGAAGACTTGTTTAAAATTCTATCCAAAATAGTTTTTATGCTCTAAACTCAAATTGACTCTAATGCGAGTGATGCTGTGGAGAGTTTTAACATTTCGGGCCATTTGAGTGGGAATTTAAATATAAAACAAGTATTTGGCCTGGCACTTTGTTAGCGCGTTGGTGCCGCCTGCTAAGAATCGTACGGAGGGCCTTAATTTTCCGTTACGGATCGGCTTGGCCCCGGATGGAGTTGACCTCGGGGCAAGAAACCGGGATCCGTGCGGATTACTCTGGCGGATTTTCTACGCTTCCGATACAGGTTCGAAACCGGTCCGTCGGTGTTATGGATCGCGCCTCCTCGGTCTGCCTGATAAACATGGAAATAATTTATGTTATTGTTTTCGTTCTTCTAACAAATGTTAAAAAATATGGTCGATGTGTATCTGTGGAAAATGCTAATATTTGATATATTAACTGCTAGATATTTTTTAAAAAACTTCAAATAAATTTATTCCACGCGAGGACAATTTTTCTTTCGGTTTTGCGTAATTAATATGAATGGCATTTGATCGTTACGATTGAATTTTGATGGTATCCGATGGTGAAATGTGTAAGATTTAAATGAAAGATGTGTTCTTTATACGTTTGTTCTGCTTTGTGATTTATGTTTTGATATTTTAAGTCGGCTTCTCCGGGATATATATTTCCGAAGAAGTTCTTATGGAAAGTTTGCTTAGTGTGCTCTCTTCGATAAATGTATCTATCAGTGGCTCGCCCAGAGGGGGCCCCCTGTACACCCAGGCATCCCCAAAGTAAAAAAGGAAAAAAACTCTAGTAAATTTTCCTAAAATCTTTTCCCAATTAAAATTGATTTTTATATTTATATTGTGTGATGTCGTCTATTTCTACATTACTTACCAATTAGCAGTCACATAATGGGGAATTTTATTGAATTTTTATTAAAAGAAATGTCCTTTATCGGTTCGGCTCTGCTCCCCGAAATAAAATCCCGAGTGCACCACTTGTACCTACCATATTAATTGGGTACTACTTGTGTTCTTAATATTTTTCTGTATATACTCTTTGGTATAGTTTTATGATAGTAAAACTATACTTAAGAGTATATTTTTATTTTTGTCTTTTTATTTATCATTTTAATTTTTTATTTAAATCATTTTCTTTTGTTAATTAATACCAAATGATACCGTAATACATTAGGCTATTTTTCAACTACATTATTGTAAAATTTTAATTATTAATTTGTTACTATAGGTAGATGTTAGGCACCATATCTAATTTAATTTAATAATTGCAATTTAATTATTCTAAATTATTATTTATTAGATATTAATTTTCTGAAGAAAAGAATCATCCTGGATTGGGACTCTAACCCACAACTCCCACTTACTGTGCAGATGTGTTGCCTGTTACGCTACCCAGACCCCCGAGCAATTCTTCACTTCCAGACATTTTAATCTTAAATATACTGTAACTATTCGTGGTTACTCACGGTGCCGACTGGGGACGACTCCTATGCTCACGACCTTATAATCATCCACTCTGGCATTTATGCATTATGGTATCATTTGGCATTAACTAATAACTATTCTATACTTCACAACTGGGTGCATAGGTAGACACTGGGCATCTTTAACATCACTCTTTATTGAGGAGTGATAGAGATGTTAAAGATGCTCAGTGTCTACCCATGTACCCAATTGTGAAGTATAGAATAATAAATTAAAGAAGACACTGTTTCGGAATAAGTCAATTAAAAACATCTTTTTAAATGTTTGATAAAAAACCCCCGAGCAAATTCTTCACTTTCAGACCCCGAGCAATTCGAACTTAAATGTTAAGTTTTAAGTTTGAATGATAGAACTGTTTTTTATATATTCAATCCTGATGAGGGCCTCTAAATGATTGTCGAAAACATTTCAGCAGTAAATTCTTTTGTTTATTGTGTGTTGGAAATCGCATTTAGGTATCAGTTATTTGATTAAGTCAATTAACTAATATTGTTGAGTAATATATCATAATTAGTTTATTGTATAGTAATAAGTTAACACATAGTTATGATAATACCACCAATACACAATATAAATGAACTAACTGGAGGAAGTAATGGTCTAATAACCTGGTATCCAAAGATACCATGGTCTATGAAACAAACTTTATATAGTTTGATAAGAAATGCAAACAGCTTATATTATTGTAAATATGGGCAAAACAAACACTATACTTATGCATTGACATAAGGAATAACTTGACAATGAGCCATCTGACGATCATTTGTGCATTGATGGGTCAACTTGGCATACTGTATTTCCACTACAGCTTATGCCTCTGAACAAGCAGATTTAGACTGTTATTTCTGAAGCTTGGTGTATTTATAAAAATAAAGGAAATTGCTTATAATGAAAATGAAGTTTGGTATCTGTTCTTGTTGATAATACTGTCTATGTCATAGTAGATAAGACTCTGGTAACTTTGGCTAGCAGACTCACCTTAAGATTGATTTTTAGGGTCGTCTTCAATATGGCAAAACGAGTTAAATATGTTCTTGGTTGTCTTAATGCTATCTGTCAATCAGTCTGTTTGGTTTTCTACTTGGTGCAGTATTTCCAGAAATAATTGCATCAGAACTCCAGAAATGTTTGGCAATGGTACCATTCAAATTTTGCACTTCCAGTATCTAAATCTAAAGTTTTAAATGCATTTTACACCCAAGTCATCCAAAATTGATCTATAAATTGTAGAGCAATAAGATTATCTGTTCTAGGATTTCAGATTTTAAACTTTGTGTTGTCATCTTCTACATTTTATTCTAAATCTTTCTACTTTAGATTATATCTTTGAACAGAATCTGGTTTTCTCACTGGTGTATGTGTTGTTCCTGTCAGTTATTTTTACATTGAATCTCTATCTTATTGAATATTTTCATCTCAAAGTATTATGTTGCTTATTTAAAAAACAATAAAGTTATCATTTATTTTAAAAATGTCTAACCTTTACTGAAAAATTTAAAATTGATAATTTACATTAATGCTTTTATCATTTGAAAGTATTAATTATAATTAAACTAACTACAAATAAGAGAGAGATTTTTAAGGCTCTTTATGTATATATGTACACACATTATTATTATTTTGTATAATTTCTTTAAGTTTTAATTTAATCAAAATATTTAAAATGGTTTATTTTGTTTCAGGAAGGAAGAAAAATAATAAAATGATATGTACGAAATATGGAATATTCAGGAAAATTGGACGTCATTCACGATTCTTGTGCAAATCTATTTGTAAGTTTGACTCAAAATTTTACAAGAAACTGTCAAATGTGCCGTACGTATTCCCAATCAGTGTAGGAGAAACGGAAGGTGACCCTAGAGTTCATCAGCTGTATGTGGGATTGTTAAACAGAGACAGAGTCTCTCTTGCTGAAAGTATAACCTTGGTAGAATCTCACCATCCCAAGAAGAAGGCGCAAGCTAATGAGTTGTTGTCGTTAATACTGAAGAATGCAGAAAACAAATATCAAAAGCTAGGCCAGAAATCATTAAGTTTCAGAATTGGTAAGTGCCTTATAACTTTATGTAAGCCATATAAGATGTTTTCAGCCACATAGTTGCATATTTGTAGTAAAATTAACTAAACAAAACTGGTGTTAAAAGAATATAAAATACTGTAAAAATCATTTTGTGTAACTTGCCTGTAATTGAAAGTTTTAATAGTTGATTGAGAGGGAGAAAACACAAAGAATAATTTTTTTCACATGAGAGATACAACCAGATATTTGTCAGAATAGTTCTTTTAAGAATTACATCCTTGTTACCAAGCTGACCTGGCATGTCTTTAGGGAGAAATGTGCCTCCTACCACCTTAAAATTTCTGAGATGAGTCAAAAGTTCTTAAAGATGATCCAGAAAGACTCGAATGCTTGGGACATAAACATTAAAAGGACACTTCAGTAGAGTATATCCAGTCATATTTCTTGTATAACTTAATTAGATATGTCTTTAATTCCAACATTCTAATTGTAAATGCCTTCAAGTTGGGTGCAGTGACAACACTAAAGCCAGTAATAATTTACAATTTACAGTAAATGCCATAAAACATTTCTAAAATAAAATTGATCCCTTGCAAGACAATTTTGCAAAACAAAATTGTTATTTCAGAGTAAATATATCAGATTTAAGCAGCTGTTAGTTTTATAATTACTTTTAACAAAATATTGCCATTTCTGTACAAAACCTTTGATCTTCATTATTCTTGGTAGCAAATTTTTTAAAGTTTTCACTGAATAAAATACAACACTTAAATCCAAAAAATAGGCATAATTCAATCAGTAGATAGAGCAAAAAAATTGTGTTTATTTTCAGACAATAAAATACCAAGGATCTAGTTAAATATTTTGTTAGTAAGCACAAATTTATACAAAGTATTCAGACTTCATAAATACATTGCAGTTTAATTGTCAAGGTCAGTTTGTTGGGCTGCAATTTCAAAAAATTGTAGACCTATAAATTTCCAGTCGTCTGTCTGTTCGTCCTTCCTTCATCTTGAGAACAGAGTTAGATAGACGTAAGCCGAGATCAGATTTGAAAGACTTAGGGGCAGAGGCCCCAATTAACTATATACAAACTTCCAACACAAACTGGAAGTCACATTACAGTAGAGCCTCGATTATCCGACCCAATTGGGGACTGGGGTTGGTCGGATAATTGAAAAGTCGGATAACCGAAAAGTATGAAAAAATCCATTATTAGTGTAGTATATTATTATATCCCATGTAATTAGTATATTAGTATATCGCTATTAACCTACTTCGCGTTGAATTTTCATCGATGTTAAGCCTAACAAAAATTTTTTAAAATAATAATCGTCGCTATTGTATCGTTAAAAATTAGAAAATTAAGCCTCGTTTAAATACTGGCTTCCTTTCATGGTCGAATGAGTGTTGCCAGCTAAAACACGTAAAAATAATATTAAAGTAGCCAGACATAGCCAAATATTGTAGCGCCACATCACTAGCGGACATTTGAAATTTGCCGACTAGGACGGTCGGTTAACCGAGGTGGCAGTTAATTGGGGTCGGATAATCGAGGCTCTACTGTATTTCAATTCAAAAATTTTTTCTCCGAAAGGAGTTAGCGATAGTGTCATGCCAGTCATCTATCTAACAGGAAAAGTATGATGTATAGGAGCAATATACTATTTTGAGGCAGAGAGCATTTATTTTAAATTATTACTGTTTTACTGTATTATACTGATGGTGATAATGCCACATAGACAATTTTAGGAAAGGGTGTATTATTGGAAGTCCAGAAGCAGGACAATTATAGACAGATGTGTTTAGAAGTATATAGGCTGCAGAGCTTCATTTCTAGACTTTGGGCCAGATTTCAGAAGGGGAGATTTTGGATGTCAACCGAGGAGTGGATTCCTCAACGGGATCACTATTTGATGTTAACAGGTCATTGTTATAGAAGAATGTCTGTGGCCAGGGCCATCCCGAGAAATAGCGGCGCCCGGTGCAACATTGTCTTGCTGTGCCTATTAATAAAAAATAGCCGTTTCAAACAACAAAATAATATTTTAATAGTAAACATACCATCCATTAAATAGATTAGTGAAAGTTATCTAATTTAGCGAATAATGAAATGATTAATTTTTAAATTTTGCAAGAGTTATATCATGCAGGATTGCGGGGCTTTGTGCTATCGCACCATTCTCACCACCCTTTGGCCGTCCCTGTCTGTGGCCACTGCTTTTAAATGAATCATAAGCAGCCAACATCATATTGTGCATAAGCCCACCATCAGCTGCTTAAATATTTACTTTAAGTGTATTCAGTGGATTTGAAACTGTTTTTTTGATAATCCAAAAGTGATCTTGAAAGCTTGCAAGCATCACATTTGAAAAGGATGCATATATCTAGTGTTAAATTCACTTAAAATTAAACAGTCCTGAGAAAATTGATGTCTGAGATACTTTCATTTTAATTTTATTTGTTCTAATACATAAAAAAGAATTTAATATAATTGATGCAAGTTGATTTGTTTAAATGTAATGAAAATTTGTCAAAAGTAGAATGCAAAATATAACTTCTTGGTGAGGATTCATAAATACCTTTTTTTTAATACTTTTTATATCATATATAACTTTGAATTAAAACTTCCTACTTCTGTTGTTTATTAGATATCACCAATGCCTTCAATTCTGACTTAATGATTAACTTTTGAATATTGACATTGATAAATCATATTTTATCTTGCCTTAATAATCATTTCATAATGCATATGTATAAACTATAAATTTCAGATTTTTTTTCCAGCAATTTTTCTCATTAATTGGCATTCCTCAAGGTTCTATTCTCAGTAATTTGCTTTTTATTGCATTCTTAAACAGATTGCTTTCTCTTATATCTTCCCCATTTATCAATGCCTATGATGATGACATCAAAATTGCTAATCACTGCCCGATTACGCTACAATCTGACATCGTAACTCTTCATAATTCTCTAAAATTGCTGAACCTTTCATTAAATACTAAAAAAACTAAAAGTCTATGGTCTTGTCAGATTGCCTAGTAACATTAATTTTTATATTGAAAATCAACTACTAAACTTTGTCAGTTCTGTCCTCGATCTTGGTATTACTTTTGATTCTAAACTTACATTTAAATTGCATATTGATAATTTGATTAAAAAAGTATCTATACTTTGTGGAATGATTTGGTGCAATCTCAAAACCGTATCTAATAAAAACATTTCACGTGCTATATTTTTTGCCAATATTCAGTTGCTCATAGCATTGCCAGTTTGGACATTAGCCTCACATTCCCTCTTAATTAAACTCGACAATGAAATTGGCAAGATTTTCATTTTTTTTAATAAACTTTCTCACTTACTATTCACTAATTCTCAAGTTGCTCAATCCTGTTTGAGCTTACCTGATTTTTTTAAGTGCAGAGACTATTTTGACCAGACTTTTACTTAAAAATATTTTAATGGTTTACTTTCTTCCCATTATTCTAACATCTGTATACCTTCCGTTAATACGCATTGGCTTTCGTGTATCCATATTTCTTTCTGTTGCCTTAACGGAAAAAAAACTATTTTATTTTAATGTTATCATAAATCTGCTAATTCAATAGAAGATAAACTATATCTTGGTTTTATTAGTTTTAAATCTCATTGCAAAAAAATATTATATTTTCACTGAATATATTGTATCTCGTTGTGTGTTTGTTACTATTTTATTTTTTTATTTTATTGGGGTTTGTTATATAGTTGTTATAAAGGAGGATGACCATTATTGTTAAAAGACCTTGCATGTAATTGTTTTGAAAAAAGAATAATCAAGTTCTTTGATTATTTGCAACATGGTTGCATGTATACAGATGTATCAATAGATGGAAGTACAATAATTTTAGTCATGTACGACAATTTTATGTGACAGGTGTTGGTGGCTTACATTCTGCTCGAATCAAGCTTTAGAGTTTTATGACGAGCTGTACAGGCAAGTAATCTTTCTGTCAGACACGCAGTATGTTGCATTTCATTGATTCCCATGCATAGAAGAGCCCATTTAATATGATGTCAAAAACCTTGACGTTGGGCTTTGAATGGATGGGGTTGGTCTGTTTGCTGACGGGTACAAGTACAGTCGCAGAATGATTCTCATTCTATTAGATCTGGACAGAGAAGGGAATCTGATACAGCCCCTTAAACATCATGAAAAGAGACCAATTTGGAGGTGGTGGCATTATGCATAACAACTGCACCAAGCTTCATATTTTTGCAAAGGGTGCCATTTCCACAAGAAGGTACGTACATAAGTAAGGTTTTAGAACTTCATGTGAAACTTTTTCCAAAGTGCCACAGGTGCAAATTTCATTTTCACAAGATGGCATTTGTCAATGATTTTCTTGGCAGTGGAGATATTCATCACATGGAACAGTCAGCAAGATCACCAGACCTAAATCCTATAAAATACATATGACGTGGTCTAGAGATATGGGTTGCATCCCATCAGCCACCAATAAAAACACTCCAGAAATTTCAAAATTTTCTTGTTTAAAAATGGACTTTGCTCTCAACAGAGTCAATAAACATTAATGACTGGAATGAACAGTCGTAATGCCTTCTGCATGCATGTGCTGTAAGGTATGTGTGTGCACAGAAGGCATCCACATTTCATGTTAATAATTTTCTGTACAGAAAGATTAATGACAATGCTTAGTACTTTTCCAGTTTAATTTGACATAATTTACAATATTTTTGTTTTTTAAATGTTTTGTTGCATACAATAATTGCATGCATGTTAACTTTCACCCTGTTTTAACCATTAATTATTAGGATATATGGCAAATTAATGGCTATGCTTATTATTTGGACAAAAATGTAATATTTATAAAGCTTTATATAGATATCTATAAACTGTTTGTTTCATAATAATGTATTAATATATGCATACAGTATTTTGTAAATGCAACTTCATTAACTTAATAATGTAATGCATGTGCATTCCCTTGCATTTCCCTTGCACACACACTACAGTATTGTGTGTCACAAACTTGCAACAGTAATAGTCCAAACACAAAGTTAATTTCCACAAAACTCAAATCTTACTCTTGTTTAAAACTTCCATTTTTATAAGAAAAAATTAATCTAAAAGGAAAAATAATCTAAAATAAAAGGAAAAGCAAATGCCAAATAAGAAACTCTGTTCAATGCACATCATGTCCAAATCCTCAAAAAATACATTATGTCTACTAGCAATGTCTAATGTTGGAGAATAAGGTGGATAGAACCTTAAAAGTAAATGGAAAAAGAAACAGAAATTTTTCTAATTCTAACAATAACACACATTAGAACCAAGAATTTTATCATTGAAATGTTGTAATTAATCAATTTATAAATTTTCCAGGGCTCACCGGTCCTCCCGGTTCTGGAAAATCAACATTTATAGAAGCTTTTGGGAAAATGCTGACAAGTGCGGGACACAGGGTGGCAGTTTTGGCCGTAGATCCTTCTTCCTCGACTACCGGAGGTGAGGTAATGATTTTTTTCTGTTTATATTTATTTAAAGTTTATTTTTACAAGACACTTTTAGTAAGAATTTTTAAAAGTAAGTTTGTAAGTTAAGCATAAATAATAATATACGAGATTTAGTCAAAACATTCTAACACAATTTCTAATGAGTTTTATTATGTAAACAAAACAAACTTTTGCACACAATCATCAAAATAATTACCTTTGCCAACACCTGTAACACTTATCAAATACACTCTTAAAATATATATTTTTTCTTTTGTACCATCTTTAACGCTGAATCTGACCTGTCTCTCTTTTATCTTTTCTGTTTTCTTTGATTCTTAAAAAATCTGCAGGAGCTAGATTGAGATTGAAGATGGTGTGGAAGAATGTAAATCTTGCTTTTTATTAGATACATATTTATTGAGAGTGGCCAGCATGACAGAGAACAGTTAATAAGAATGATACTGAAACATTATTAATAAATTTGACAGTCTTTACATCGGTAATAAAATTTATTGAATAATAACTAAAGAAAAATTTCTTGATCTCATAGGTTCGTTGCTGGGAGACAGAACAAGGATGCTGGAACTTTCGAGGGATCCGAATGCTTATATCCGACCCTCTCCGGCCGGCACGTACGCTGGAGGGGTGGCCAGGAGCACCAATGATTCCGTTCTGCTTTGCGAGTCGGCCGGATATGACGTGATAATCGTGGAAACTGTGGGTAGGTGATACTTTCTTCTAGAATTTGTACGTTATTGAGAGCTAAAACCATGTAACGTAGGCAACTTTTTATCGATAAACAGATAACGTAATGATCTGTGCAAAAAATCTGATTAAAAATTGCCTAAAAGGTCGGCTTTGTTGTAATCCCTACATTTTTCAAAATTAAATATACATGTCTAATGCAATTTTGGTTTGTGTGGGTCCATTCCGAGGGAAGTTTGACTCTAAGCTAGTGGCAATAAACCAATTACCTCTTTCCACTCCTGCTGGCTGTTAGTTACTAGAAAAAGTGAACCTTAATTTTTTTATGCAGTGCTTTAATGTGTCTAATTTCGATATATGCAATATACTTGTGGAACTAATTGACTGTATACGAGTACATCAAAGATTACCTGTACTTAGTTGTATGTGTGTATTGATAATTTTATGTATAAACTAAAAAGCTTACTACAAAATTTTTCTTTTGGATTCTTGTGATAAAAACTCAGATATTTCAATGCTAACTGCTACTGTTTTCATTTGTACTCAGACTGTCTTTCTACTTAAATAATTATATTGTAACTTGTTTATTTTAGACAGTGGCTTTGGGCATTTTCTTCATAAAAGAAATATACATAGAATTTCTGAGATTTATTGCCAGTTAACAGGCAAGTTTGTATACGATCTCAAGAAAGAATTAGCAATATTGCATACCATTATTCCTTTTAAAGAGCTCTTTTTTAATATTAGTTGACCACCAATTTTTTGGCATGCTTAGTTTTGGAGCCTTATTATTGAATTATTATGCAACCTCGGTTCATCTGGCAAAATTATTGACTCGACGACAAGTCCCTAATCCCTTAATTATATGTCTGTTGTGTCTCTAAAGCATTATAATCTTAGAAACTTTACATTTAACCCTAGACTACCACATATGACTTCTAAAAAAGCAGAAAATAAAATGAACTAAACTTGTATGGTGTAGATCAGGGATATGCACTCAGTGGTTTAGAGGTATGTGAAACACAAAAATTAATGATGGCAGATATACTATAAGAATATTCAGATTCTGCATTGAGGCCTTTGGCAACATCACAGCACTTGATGCTTAGTTTTAAATAAAAATACAATTATATTTATCTGTGTCCTTTGTCACAATTTTCAATTAAGAAATATTTTTTTTACACATAATTGTACGGCACCATTATTTGACAAACACGTGAAATAAAACTTAGGAAAATGGGCTGGCAAAGGGTGCATGAGTCAAAAAAGGTTGAGAAGTGCTGGTATAGATGGATTGTCTATGCTCAGCTATTGGGAATGTGACAAAACACTCACTACACGCAATGCCATCCAATGAATGAGTCTGGCAGTATGACAATTTTAAGTGACATCTTGTAATTCTGTCCAGATTAAGAGGTCCCAGACCATCAGGTGCTTGAAGAACAACAGAAAATTTATATTTTAGAGTTTTTATCTAAAAATTAGAACAATGCAAATTATTAACTGATAAACAGCTGATAAAAGTATAAGTCCATCAGTGTATTATGTAGTTCCTGCTTTTTATCTCATATTGCTAATCATTATGCTATTTTAAAAAGAAATATTCACAAATGATAAAACCAAATTTAGACAAAAATGCAACATTTTAGTAGTTAAAATGAATATAAAAATAATTCACTTAGTTTTAAGATGAATTAGAAATTTTTGATTGTTCTTCCATCAGAATATTGTTTACTGTCTGCTGTTTGGCAGCTTGGGACTTTTCTACTGGATTTGCTTTCTGGCTTGTCTCATTACAGTTAACTATCTGCGAGGAAAATTGTCGCACATTTACTTTAATTAATAGTCTATTGACGATAATTTTTAAGTCATAATAATTTCTAGCTCTTTCATCTCCCTCGACTAACCCTTCCTTTATTAAACTTTATTTCAGGGGTGGGCCAGTCCGAATATGCGGCTGCCGACATGGTGGACCTATTCACGCTGCTACTGCCGCCCGTAGCCGGCGACGAGCTCCAGGGCATAAAGAGGGGAGTGGTGGAACTGGCCGATCTGATTATAATTAACAAGGCCGACGGAAATCTGGTCAAGGATGCCCGCCTCAGTCAGACGGAATACACGAGTGCCCTGAAGTACGTTCGTAGTAGATCCAACGTTTGGAGACCGAAGGTAAGTTTTGTGGCATTGTTTTATTCCAAATCTGTTGGTTTGTTTGTTTTGTTAAGTTACAGCAATGCAAATGCAACACTTGGGCAATCTGCCTAGGGTAATGCCTTCTGGGAGGTCTTTTTAAGGGTAACTGCCCCTATTCAGGCATTACAGACAGAGAAAACTTGGAAAATCCATGTGGCCAGCCTGTCCTGGCAAGGCGCGAACCCACAACCGAACTCCCGGTGTTCGGGGAACGGAACCTCTTGGCCACTGGTGGGCCACCAAATCTGTTGGCAATGATTATTTACAGACTATGGATATGCTTTCAATCGATAAGTAATTATCACACTCCATGCTCACATATATCTTCCAGTTTTCAGTTTATTTGTATGCATTTCTTTGCCTCCAATGACTTTGCCAAAATGAAAGTCACAAAAGAAAATCTATAACATTTTCCTTGTATAGCCATACCATATTATCTCTCTTCTTTATTTTGTCATTTCTTTCATTTTATACTCTGTCGTATGTAACATTCTACACGATCTTCTTGACACATCCGTTTTGAATACACGTATCTTCTTTTCTGCTTTATGATAGCATTATCCATAAAAAATATCAATTTTCAATAAAAGTCAAGAATATGGAATATATAAGTTATGCAACAACTAGTATCTGATTTCAAACTACAATAGGGTGGCTCTATCAATTTTGTAACTTGAGATTTAAGTACATTTAAATACTTCATAACAAATAGCTTTCCTTTAGAAATTTCAGATCTGTACTGGTGCGAGTTAAGTAAAACTTTTGCATAAAGTCCTAACAATATATCTGCACAAAAAAATATTGCATTCTTACTTTCTTTTGAGACTTTGGCATTCTGCCAGATTCCATTCAATCTCTTAACAACCTTTTATTCCCTTGGTTCTCCCATCTTTTCCTTAATATTGCTCCCTTGAGGATATGAGAACTGAACTTATTTTTTATATAAATGTTTGTATTTGTTACAACAAAATAGACTATGCAATTTTAGAATAACATGATTTATACATACATATATATACGTATAAAAGGCCACATTCCCTTAGTGTTAAGTGTGAAAAATGTGTAAACCAAGATGCAATAACACTTTTATACATACACAGACACTTGCAACTTAGTTAATGATTTTGACCTATGAATCAAATGTAACAATCTTTTCAACAAACACCAAAACTTTGGCTGTAGACATTTTGTTTATTCAGTATTTTCCTTCCATCAGGGAGGGTTATAAGAGAGTGCAAGTAGGGGATATCTGATTGCATTTTGTGTCATCTTGTTGGTTGACCCTAGCAAACTCCACTGCATATCTTGCCAAGTGGTTTCTGGCTTTGCCTAAGTTCTTTTTGTTCAAACTACCAGAGAAAAAGTAGTATACAGATTATAAATTTTCTCTCTCTCTGGAATCTCTTTTGAAATAGAGCATCCTTTTCACTCTGATTTTTTTTCTCATGCAAAATGTTTTTACATTGTGGCCATGTCTGAATGAATCTACTGTGAATGTTACCAATTAAAAAGACTACTACATTTTTACCGATGGCCGTAGTGACCAAAGATCGGAACAGAAACGGTATGCAGATTGCATTTGAATTAAAACATTTTTCTCACAAAGACGTTGGTAAAGTAGTAAACAAACGGAGAATGTATCATGCTAAGACTTCCAATGTGACTGCCAAAGAGTAGCGCAACCAATTTTAGTAAAGAATCTCCCGATGATAACTGCTACGACGACGACTCAGATGTCAAAGTTCTACCATAAAAGGTCAAAGAACAAGTGCCACCTTACTACGGGATGACCGACTGCTACTGGGTTAACATTAGACATAAAAGAGCCAAGTGAGTATGACAAAATCCTCCGAAAGACAGTAAAAATGACATTTAACTCTGTGACATCTGCATTGTTGAGAGAAAAAGGGTTTAACAAAAACAGAGGCTATTTATGTATTGACACAAGCCATGCTGTAATGCCTGACTAAATGGTTTTATTTTTTGTTTCTTGCTTCAATATTTTGTAATCAAATCGGACAACTTTTCTTTTTGCAGTTTCTCTCAAATTTATGGTGGCAAGGATCCATTTTAAATAAGAAATAAAAATTAAAAGTGAGTGATACAATTGGGATAAACTATATTGATTGTGCAGCAGGAAAAAAACTTGTCCGTATAATTATTCTCGGGTGGCATTTTTTCCTCTTCTCCTCTCGTTCTATTCCGCCGGTCCGGCTGTGCGGATGTCTTTGCCCCGTCTATTCGTAATTTAATTTTGATGTCAACTAATTATCTTTTGCCATCTCCCTCCTCGGATTTTCCAACATATTTACCGCATCTTATGTTCTGATCGAATTCTCTTTTTAAAAAGTAAATGTGTTATTAAATAGTTATAATTCTGTATCCAAGAATTATAAAACTATTGCCAAAAGAAACTAGTTACAATAAGGGTATGTCGTGTTTATATTATAATACACGTTGCAGCTCGGAAGGAATTTGTTTTCATTATAATTAAATATTTAGGAATCAGTCTGTTATTAAAACAATAAATTATTTTAATTGATTGCAGCTCTTTTAAACTAATAATTTGATTATAATGGTTGTGTGAGAGAATAAATATTTAAGTTTAATATTTTTTGTTTAGAAGCTTTTTATTTACGTTTTGTGTGAATAAAAATGAATCAAAATATCTCAAGATGATGAGTATATGGAATTATATCTTTTATGAATATTTTTTGCAATGTGTACCGAGATGCTCGTGTGGTTTGAAATTTCCCAAACAAACTTTTTAATGTAAAGGATACAAAATGTATGCGATGCTGAAAGATCATGAGTGGTAGTAATTATACATATTGTGTTTTCGCCAATTTTTAACCCAAACACCAAAAAACACGAGTGTAATGAGTGAGAGATGACTTAAGCAAACAACAGATTGCATTTATGCTTACAGCACATTTTTTCAGTGCGTCTACAGTTTAGTATTTGAAACTTAATTTCGGACTTTAGAGTTGTTTGAAGTACCGTATTGGGTTGGTCAGAAAGTTTGTGGTTTGAACTTTCTTTTTTGTGTGTTAAAAAAAACAAACCTTTACAGTCAAACATTGTCTCCCGAATAACTTATCACCAGTGTTTTCTGCTAGGCACTCAAATGGCTGGAATGCCCAGGAAACATTTTTCAACATTACTGGTTTGAAAATTACAAGATTACCAGTGATGTGGAATGGATGGCATTTTGCCAATTGTTGAAAAAGAGGCTTCTGATTTTGTACATATTGTTTCTGAACATGGAATTAGCTCCTACTCTTAAATACTCTTGACTGAAGAGTAACAGCAACTTGTAAGTAAGCAAATGCTTCTTAATTACAAGTTGCTGTTCCTCTTCAGTCAAGAGTATTTAAGAGTAGGAGCTAATTCCTTGTTCTGAGGAGCCCGGTGGCGGCCGAGAGGATAAAGCTGCCAAACCTCCGTAGTCTGTTGCGGGTTTGTACCCAATGGATGGGCTAGTCGCATGGAGTTTTCTGGGTTTCTTTGTATGTATCACACCCAAATAAGGGTCAGTTTTCCATAGAATGTCTTCCTGGGAAACATCCCTGGGTCACTCACCTGTGTTGCATTGTCAAACCAAATCTTCCTACATGTATTGTGAAATTTACCTGCAGACTCTAATAAATTTCTTGCAAATATTGCTCCAGTGTTGTAAATGCTAGGCAATAATTTTGTAGAAAAGATACAAATCCATTCAAAATTAGAAGTACAAGGACATCATACCGTGGCTTCAATACTTCTACATACAAATGAAGGATAGGCACTTGCCAATGCCGTATCAGAACCAGTAGGGTTCAGAGTGATTGGTTGTCTTTGCTCAGCACTGAAGCTAGCATTAAGTACTCTGTTCTAGCAAATGAGTATATTCTTCACTTGCTCTGTGGATTTGTTCTTGATAGTCACAGAGTGGCATGCTGACCCAAGAATTATGCTTGAATTTTCCTAAATAAAGAACAGACAATAAAAATTACACGAGTGCTTAAATATTGTCTTATTCTTAGTACTGTAATGGAGTAATGAATTGTTGGAATTATATCTAGGTTCTGAATGTTTTTTATCTTTGTAGGTTATGAGAGTGTCATCAATTAAGAAAGAAGGTTTAGATAAAGTATGGAAAGAGATGCAAGACTTCTGGGACGAAACACTGGAGGCGGGAGAACTAGAGGCAAAACGGAGACGTCAGTATCGGGTCTGGATGTGGAACCACATCGAGTACCATCTCAAGCTCTACTTCAGACAGCATCCCAGAGTGAGTCCTTACATAGACGAGACAGAGAAGAAGGTGACCGATGGCATCCTGACTCCCGGAACGGGTGCAGACATTTTATTACACAAACTTTTTGCAGAAGAGTGAGGGGGGAAAATCGTCGTATAATTGGAGATTTGTAAATGATCCATTCGCCGAAAGTTCCTTTATAATAAATGCCAGACGAAAAATCGTTTATTTGAGACAATTACATTGTACAGAAATTTAAACATTGCTTTATTACAATCCTTTGAAAACGCCAGACAATTATTGCAAGGATCTTTATGGCCATGATTTTTAAGAATGAGTTCGTTTAAATAATTACTACAGATTAATGAATTGTTCATTGTTATAGCTTAATTTTATCAAAAAATACTGATAAAATTATTTTTTATATGACAAGTCCCCTTAAACCGAATCCGCCTATCAGTGTTCCTTTAACTGGCTCATCAGTGTCTCGTTTTCCTGTTTCATCTGTTTGTAGTCTGCTGTAATTCTCTCCAAATTTGCAGCCACTTTCTTTTGGCTCTCTTGTTCGATCTACAAGTAACATTGAAAATTAAACAGATTTTCTTAAACTTTTGTCATGCAGACAAGCCAGATTTCATTAAAAAAAAATACAAAACTGAATACCTGATCTTCTAAATCTCTAATTTCTCTCATGATAGCACCAGTCTCCTCTACTGTCTGCATTAGCTGGCTACAATTCTGGAAAAATTACGTAGTTTAGCAATGCAATATAATTTTTTTTTCTAGTAATTTATATACGTACCTCGTGTAAGGCAGCAAGATGTTTGTACGCTCTTCTGACCCCTTCGTCTTTCTTTGCATCCTGTTTGGCACGCAATTATGGCCCATTTAAATATACAAACAACAAGAATGGCAGCAAACTAAAACAGAATAAAACTACCTTGAATATGAGTTCGTCCGTCACGGTGAAAGTCCTGTCTAATTTTCCAGCCAGCTGATTGATTTCTTTCTGCACCACTTTCGTATCACACAAAACCTAAATTGATAGCAGCATAAAATAATCATATACTGGTACATATATATAAAATCATTGAGTGTGTACAAATCTCACCTTGTCTATTTCTGCCTTCTGCTTTTTGATGTTTCCAACAATCTCTATGATTCTCCTGGTATACGAGGAACGATTGACATCTTTAGATATTCTTTCATATTCATTTATCTGGAAAAAGAGTAAAAAATTCTGACACATTTCATGCAATATTCTACAATAGCAATTCAAATTACTATAGTAGAGATGTAATCAGAAATTTTTGAGCATGGGACATCCATGGGAAAAGTCTACAATGTTGCAGGGAAAGGAACTTTTGGATCCGTGTAAATTTAAGTCAAATTTTGCAACTTTTCATTATATAAACATGTGTCCTAGTCAAGCAATGTGTGGAATATGGCAAAAAACATAATTTTCAGGGAAGAGGAGATGTGTTTTAAAAAGTAAACTAAATGCCAATAACAAATAAAATCTAGATTACATCCGACTCCACACGAGATATGACTCGTCTCTCTCGACCTTTCAAAACCAAAATTTATTAGCATCAATGCCCCTTATACACAAGCTACCACTGTGCAAAATTTCATTTCATCATTGTTACTCCATCCTGAGACATTAAAATAGATGCCATCACACACACATACTTGCATACATATCATATCCACAGAACTTTCCCCCCATTTTTGGTTCCCAAAGTGGGCACTACCGCCCCCATGAGTGGTGAGTAAATCTAGGTGGGTGCTGGAGGCAAGGTACTTGAACAGTAACCATAGGCAATGATTGGGGGAGTCACTAAACCTTTTTCTTCCCTCCATTAAAAGAGGGAAGAAGAAACATTGTGTTTAATGGATTTCATATATGGAAAACAATATATGGTATGGACACAGTGTGATGTTCATAGAAAAGTTTCTCTAATAATATTTCCAAGCCTTTCTCATACAAGGGAAAATGGGTTAGGAGCATTGGATAGAAGTTTATGGAACCAAGTAAACCTTACTAATCAGAAGGTAACTCCTGAGAACAACAATTAGAAAATCAGTCTGCTAAAGTACACTTTTTTTATATGTGCATTTTTGAAGCGTAGCAAACTTTTTACAATTATTCAAAAATTCCATAATAGAATCTTATCATCAGCGCTTTTTTTTCTTATACAACACAATGGAACGGCATTCCACCACCTTTTTTCAATATATTTTAAAACTTAAGAGAATTTTTGAAAATTTGATGTTTGGTCCGCGTTGAATCGCTCTGTTGAGCATAGAAGATCGGCAACAAAATTATTAAGACGGTCCTGCTCCTGCTTGTGCGAGATGTATGTAATACATTTTTAGTAATGAGATGAGTGTTCCACTGCCTTTTTTTCCCCCCAAAAAAGCACTGTTTATCATCATAGTATTAATCTCACAAATAAATTTCCTGTGTAATTTATCATTTTATGTACAGTAGAAAGTTTTATAACTACTTAAATGTTGACTATTTTTCCAACATGCTTACCAGTAATGCAATCCTAATAGCAGCCACGTCAATCTGTTTTAAAAAAAAAAAAAAAAATGCATTGGTACGAAAAGGTAAACACAATAATTTCTTGAAGCTGAATATTTATTTGTTTACACTTTCAAATAAGTTTATGTTTATATATTAAAGACACAAAAATGTCAAATATTTTTTTTTGACATTTTTGTGTCTTTAATATATACATTGTAATTGTGAGGTCCCAAACAGAATTTGAAATTGTGTGTTAACATTTTAATGAATATCCAACAGGACAGTTAAACTCTCACTCTTCAAAAATAAAAATGACACATCATCTTGTGAAGACTATTAAAGATTCTTTGTCAAAAATGTAAACAAAAGGCTGGAATTACAAGGGAGTGTTTCAAACTTTGGATAAATACTATCCGATCGGTATTTGGTTGAGCATTGATGGTGACCCCTCCCGCAACCCAAAAGGTCTCGAACTGTCACCCAAAGACAAGGGTGGACCAATTGGAAAGTGATGAGGGATATCATTACTCAAAAATACATTAATAAATAAATACATTAGATTTTTCATCTAAACTTAACCAAATCATTAACTGAATTTTGTTGCTCTATTAATACAGTTCTTATAATGGTTAACTGATTACATAATAGTATAGTAAATTTTCTAAAGGTCACATTTCATCTTACCAACTGTTTATGAAGCTCTTCTTTATTATGCACATCGTCTTTGATTTCTTTCACTTTTTCCTGAATTATTTTTATTTCTTCCAGTTTTCGTTGCGTTTCGCTCTAAAAAAAAAAAGAGTAAATTTAAAGTATTATATTATGTAAATGTCATTAAAAAATCACTGCAAAAACTTCAAAAATAATATGAAATATACTACCTACTAGCCTTTGGGAGCTGAGTTCTTTTAACTGGCGATATTCTTCTACAAGAGGAGCCCGGTGACTCTCCCACTGGCCAGCCAGAGACACCAGTTTCTGGCCGTTCGCCTCGACCATCGTCTGGAGTTTCTGCAGGTTGTTGTCCGCATCCGGCAAGAGGTCGAACGTGCGCTTCTTCACTCGGTACGCTTCCTGAAATTCTTCAATTTTCTTTTCTTGGGAAATGATTTGTTCTGCTATCTAAAAAGACCAAAATTTAATGTTTCAGTTTAAATAAACAAAATTACTTGAAAACAACTTTCATCTTGAATATGCCTTTTTGTGTATATCATTCATAAATGTCAATTTAAACAGCAAGACTCTGCAAGATTGATCAAAAATATTTCAGTAATTAGAAAAAGAACATCCCATTTCAAGCAACCTGCACATAGAGGATATATAGTAAACTGGCTTTTCCCATTATGTGGATCCAATTCAAAATAAAAGTCAATTCACATGGCAAGGAACAAATATCCAACATGAAATTCAAATTACCCTCAGAAATCATGAGAATCTAGATACCTCATAATGAGATGGGAATACTGCATGATGATCTATATTCTGATCACCAGGGCTATTTTTCAGCCAGAACATACTGGTATGGCTTACATAAAAGTATCAAAAGTTAGTATATAGCAGCAGCAGCAGCCACTTGGTGAAAAAAATTTCTGTATGTTCAAGGTGAGAAGTCTGGTGACAGACATGATAAAAATAAATGAAACAAAACTGGGCCACCACCGACCATGCTTATGCACATGACTAATGCCTTGGGCCAATTGGAATCAATGTAAAAAAGGAAAATGGAGTGGGAATTGCCCTCTATCCTTGGAAGACATCTCTTGACAAACAGACAATACTGTCCACTAATTGTCTACGCAGACTAAATTCTTATCACGAAATGAGGTATAGAGAAGCATTAATGATGAAAGGGAAAGGAATTGTTTTTGAAGATATATTTATTTTAAAGGAAAAATGTTTATAACAAATGAAACTTTGTTTTGATATTATTATTATTATTTGACATATTTTCAAATACGTTCTACTTATAAACTGTCAAATTTTATTTACTATTATACTTAGAAATTTTTAAAGGAACAGCTTTTATTCTTCTCTCTGCATTATAGGCCTTGGAGGCCCTTGGCTGCAGTTACAATCCTTTTCCATATCATTCGGTCTATAACCTGCCTCTGCCGATCTTCAGTGACTCCATCTATCCACCTTCTTTTGGGACAGCCTCTTAGCCTCTTCCCTTTCCCGATAGTGGAACCCTCGTGAAGCCGTTGCCATTATAGCAAGCCTTATGACATGACCTAGCCACTGTAATCTTCTGGCCTTAATTACTTGTGTGATCATGGGCTTGTTGTAGGTTGTCTGCAGTTTCTGTTTGTTCTTCTCAATATTGGTTCTCAGTTGACCATGATACCATTATCATCAAAGTCTTCCACAGGTCCGAAGATTTTCCTTAGTATTTTGTTTTCAAATCTCTGTAGTTGTAGTTCCTCCTGCTTTGTCATTGGCCATGTTTCACATCCATACAGAATTGCAGAATCAGTGACTCATATACAGTTAGCTTCGTCTTTTAACTAAGGAGTCTGCTTTTTAGTATGTTTGTGAGCCCGAAGTAGATTTTGTTTCCCTGTAGCAAGTGAGTCCCTATCTCCTTCTTGATGTCATTGTTTCTGTTTATGTCAATCCCTAAGTACTTGAAGGATTCCATAGTGCTGAATGTTATATTGTCTACGGTTAGATGTTTTTCGTGGGATTCTCCCTTTTTAGAAATAACCATGTATTTAGTCTTCTCTGCATTGATGGTCAGACCCATGCTCTTGGCAACTATTGCTAATTTTGGCATTAATCTCATCACCTCCTCTTGAGATTCTCCAATTATGACAATGTCATCTGCATATGCTAGTAGTGACAGTTTGTCTCTTGAGTCATTTTCCTTTTTATTGTATCTCCTGGGCCATTCTGACAACTTTTATAACGACAAAATATTTTAAGACATTGCGATTAACCTAAATATTTTACTAAGCATTTGTTGACATGAAATATTAAAGTACTTTAAGGCTTAAATTGAAGCATCTAGTGTACAATGTCTAAAAATAATTTGTAACATTTACTTGTATAGAGAATATTTTAAATACAAATGCACAATTAAAAGTCAAATAACCAAATTTTGATGAATGCAATAAATCAATTTCTGACAAATTTAAACTCTGAAAAATTACCAGTTTTTATTCTAAACTTAAAAGAAACTCCTTAATTTGAAAAATGGCAAACCTGTTGAATGGATGCATTGAGATGTTTTGCGTCTATTTCCTTCTGCTCCAACGTTTCTGTCAGTTCGTCGACTCTGTTCCTAAGATCCGAAATCTGCTCTTCTTGACTCTTCTTCACTTCCTCTTCCGAGCTCACAACCGGAGCAATGCTTTTTGACTGATCGTTTGATATTTCATCCTATAAAATTTATCTTTGTTGTATTTTCTTAAAAATTTAAAAGCAAATTATTTTAATTTCAAGAATTTCTGTTACCTGCGTAAATTGCAGTTTTTCCGAATGGGTGAATCTCGATCCCTTCTGTCTTAAATTTTTCTTCTCAGACGTTGCCAGTGCTTTAAAATTACTCATTTCTTGAATTATGGCTTCCGCACTTTGTACGGAGTGTCTCAACTGCTCGGCAATTCGCTTTTGCAACCTATCTGCTTTCCTTTTTCTATATTCCTAAAGTTAAAAAAGTTTTTTTTCATGTTTTAAAATTTTAAATATTAAAAAAATATATATATTTTTAGTAAGCATTCAGTTATTTGAACTGAAATTTAAATTATTTTTCACATCTTGAAAGCTTTCTGATTGGATTAGACCAAGTTTCAGACATTTACAGCTAAGAATAAAATATTTCCTACTTAACATAACTACTTACAGAATACAGAGTCAAATAAAACTCTAATTAAACATCAGAATAAGAAACAAAATACATTATTCAATAAATCTAAAAGTAAAAAATATTTTGGTTAATAACAAAATTCTCACCTGTTCTGTCAATCTGGATGGTAATCCATTTTGATTCCATTCATTATCCCATTCTAATGAATACACCACAGATAAAGTATTATTTTCAAAGACAGAAGGTACAAGTTGATGGGGTAAAGGCACTTGTTTGGTTACTAACGGAACATACTTGTTGTAATACTGTTTTAATCCTAGAAGAAATAAATTTTGATATTAATAAATATATTTATTACGGTATAAATATTTTTTTCTAATTATTATAAAATATACAACCTTTAGACAATTTGAAATAATTCTCACGAGGACCAATCAACTTAGAAGTGTGAAATGGCATGGCATTTGGATATCCCTGTTAATTTAATTATTCATACGTTATGCATATTAATTTTAAATATGTGATTAGAGATAAATCCACACACACAAACAAACAAACAAACACAAGTTAAAACGTTTTCTTTATACTATGCATAAATACTAACATAATAAATACATTTAAAAAAAATTTTTCAATTCTTATTTATATAATTTCATGAGAAGCACTGAAAAAAATTTATTTAAAACAATGCACAGTGGGGTCAGTGATATCAAAATCTCTAAGAATACATTTAATATATATGTACTTAAATACTACACACATACATATGTATATTTCTGTTATATATTTGAAATTTCAATACACTATTAATGTTGAGTGTTGGTGAAAAGTACACTTTCGATCAGATGTTTTAGTTATAAAAAAGTGAAAATATACACGTTTAGTGAATATTACACTATCATTTAGTGAAATTTGTTTTTCTCAAATTCTTTCTGACACGGCAACAACATCTTTACTTATATTAATTAAATACTCATTAAACACACATTTATCATTATCATAATAAGTATTAAAATGATTTATCATAAATCTAAATTTTGTTGATATTTAATATTTCTCCTGGACTTCAAATTTGGTGATTATTTGGTATTAGCCATTCGGGACCAAACGAAAAACAGTGCACCTTTGCCTTTTATTGTCATTCATTTTTAATAGCTTTTATTTGCACTTCAATTTTAACAAACCAAATTCTGATGTTATGAATTTGTTTCATTCTTTACAGGATGGAATTCAACTTATTTCTTTCAGAGAGAGAATTATTTGATACAATGTGTAAAATCAGACTGAGTTGCATTAGTCAATCAAACTGAATATTCAAAAAAATATATTGAAAAATGGATATTGTGTCCAGAAGAGTTTCTTCTCAATCTCTATTAGTCACTAACACTTTAAATTGGAATTTTAAAAAGATGATTAAAAATACAATAAGAAAAGGACAGTTTTATCACAAAAAAACACAAGACAGCTTGAAAATTCAATATCTTCTCCATGTTATTCAAAATTTTATAGAAAAATAAAATTTTGTCAAAAGTTCTAAACAAAAACGATGAAAAAATGAAGAATTTTCCGCTAATCATTCTTTTGAAGATTCAACTTATGCAGGGCATAAAAGTAACCAAAAGAAAAGGGTTTTTCCAAGAAGCTATGGAAACACCAAAATGTCCAAATATTGTATATGCAGAGGAAGAAATTTTAGACCATAGGTTACATTCTATGTTAGTAAAGAGCTATGTCTGAAGATGAAATGTATTAAATTTTGAATTATTGTATCAGTTATTAACTCATTAACATACTGTAAATTTAGCATATTCTGTAAATTTAGTATTTTGTAAATCTGTTATTAACAGGTACAAAGTAAAAAGCCGAGTATGTTGCCAGATTTTTACTTAAATAATCAGTTTTTGTTCATGCAGTTTTATTTAACAAAATATACTTAAAAAGTAATTTTAGACAAAATTAAATTTAAAAAAAAATACATAACTGAATTTTCTGCTAAGTTTATGTATTCATGGCCCCACTGCACAATATGTAGAAATATAAGTCACACAATTCTTTACGCAGCAGCAAAAAATTTTTAATGATTAACACTTTTGGTCATTTTTAAAGATCATCCTTGAGTTACATACAATACAATAAATCAAACTATTTAGGAATGCAACAGAAATATTTTAGAACATAAAATACCAAACAATTTTAAATTAAAATAAAAAATAAATACAAGAAATAGCTATATAATAAAACCAGCTTGTTAAACCATGCTTCACCTGCGTTTATAAAGTACCCCTCACAGTAATTGTTACACCTGACATTATTAATTGTAAATGTCAAAAATGTATGTGGCAAAATCCATTTAAGAATGATCAGAATGCCCATAAAAACTATGTGAGAAGTATGCCCTCATAAATAGCAAGTTTATAGAAAATTACAATTAGTTTGATTTATTTGGTTATGGCAACATGACATGGCGATCTACCAAGAAGGGTGCCTCCCGGGAAACTGGCCCCTATTTCAAAGTTACTAACTTGAAGAAAACCCAGAAAACTCCACATGGCCATTCTGATGGCAATGTATGACTAACTACCAGTGTAACAGTTTTGACTCCATGCAGGTGAATGCAAAGTACTACTCATCAAAGTAATAATATAGTGTGTCTACTTTGTTCTATATCATTGTTACAGTAAATTACATGAATAAACTATAATACAGTGGAACCCCGGTTAACGAACATAATCTGTTCCACGAGTCCGTTCGTTAACCGAAGCAATTTTTCCCATAGAAATTAATGCAAATACAATTAATCCGTTCTAGCCGTCAGTATTTTTGTAATTTTATTTGTAAAATGGGTTTTCTTTAATGAAAATATAGGAAAACGTGCTCATAAACAGTCGATCTAGGTTAAATTTTCGGATAAGGGGAAAGATTTGACGGGTATAAAAACATCCCACACGATCGTTAAAGTTTTAAAATGACAGATAGCAGAAACAATAGGCTAAATTATGAGCGAAAGGCTTATAGGTTTATCAACAATCTCTGATCAGAGTCGACAAACAGGTGTCAAATAAACTCCTCGGAACAAACCTTTCTCGTGACCTGATCTGGTTTCGGTTTTCACCTGGAGACAAAGAAGTAAACAATCACGAGGAAGCGAGGAATGGGACGCAGGACTAATCATAAGGTGAGATTCAAGGAAAAAATACTATAAAAACCCCGAATCTCAAGGTCAAAACGCAGTTTTCCTAAAAATTCTATGGTGATTAATCTGTGTCATCTTCATCTGGATTAAGCCTGAAGTTGTGCCCGCTAAAATTTGTGTTGTGTTCGCAGACCGCTCCAGTCATTGCAGCTCTGTCACCTACCATCGCTTCTGTGACCAAGCGAACCCATCTCGTCCGCTCTGGGGCTACGACTGATCAGCTTGCTCTATTGTAGGACCAGCGATATGCCACTCCTCAGTGCCGAGAGAAAATACTGTAGATAAGCCATTTCCAACTACCTCAAATATGTAAGCATCTTCCCGTTCTAATAAATGATTTTCACTGTAAAATACTTGTCATCTTTGTCTCCTCCGCCACCACCAACGTACAAATGGACCCTAGATCATCACCGACACACGATTAACTGACTTTCCCTAAAAGTCGGCAAGCTTACAAATTTGACACAAAAAGCCGTTAAGTTCGTTATCCGAATTTTGTTCGTTATCTGAGACAAAATTTTTGCAAAATAATAGTTCGTTAACCGGGGTTCCACTGTATTTGTTTTTAAATTATATCCTTTTCTGTATTAATTATGTTTAGTTTATTATATTTTAAAATTTTTTTGCTAATAGATGGTGATACATGTAAATCCAGTAAAACCAACATATACAAAAGTTAATTGATATATACAAATCCATAAATAGTTTTGGGTGTGTAATATATATATCACATTGTCTAAGTTATTAGTATGTTAACAGAACTGCCAAGTTTTATAGCAATTGGTCAAATAGCCTAGAAGTGTATAGCAAACAAATAAAAATTCTCATTTATGGATAGAGATAACACAAATAAATGACAAACAGAATTGATAAATAAAAATGTTAGCTGTAAGGATACAAAAAGGCTTATAAATATATATGAATTTTTTACCCTTACAGCTTCTTAACATATCTATTCTTTGTATTTTATTTTCTATTTTAATTTTAATTTAAAATTGTTTGGCATTTTATGTTCTAAAATATTTTTGTTGCATTCCTAAATCATTTGATTTATTGTATGTAACCTGAGTATGGTCTTTAAAAATGGCCAAAAACATTAATCATTAAATATTTTTTACTGTTGTTCAAAGGTTGTATGACAGTTACTGTCTATCATAACAGTTTCTGGTGATTATATAGTGTGTAGAAATATAAGATTTTATAAAATTACTAGATACAATCACAATTCGTTGTTCATATTGCTTTCAAACATACCATTCAAAATTTATCAGCTAATCTATAAATATATAAAGTAATAAGTCAGTCAACTAAATTGAATATTCCCATATTAACCATAAAATGCTTGAAAACAATTCAAATAGTTTGGGATTTATTTAGATTATTAGACTGGATGATGAGACAGTTGAAAAAAATATAAGTATTTTTGACCATCAAACAAAATCAAATAAACTTTTTAAACAATTTTGATAAGATCATTTTCAACTTAATTGTGGCATCGACAAGAAAAGTAATGTAGTGTACATCAAATTATGATCTGACGAGACAATTGCCTTAAAAAAGCTTTGTCTAAATAAATTCCAAACTTCTCAAACTGTTTTAGTACTTTACAATTATTATAAATTAAATATATTACTGTACCGAGTTTGAATACTCAAAATTTATGATTAATTTAGATTCATCCAATACATCTGCCATCTATTTAAATTTAAATACTCGTAATGTTTTCAGAAATCTCTAGCTTCTCATCCTTAATTATAAATATACTAGAAATTCTCCCGTCAAGTATGACAGACTACTTTCTATGAAAAAGTAGAGATTAAAGAATTGAGAAGAGTACAATTTCAAGAAATTCAAGAAGAGTAACTAATATTGCTACAAGTTCAATAGTGTATACTGTTCATTAATACATAATTAAAGCACAATAACACATTTTAAATAACAGGCTCATTAGACTGTTACTTCCAATTGACCATCACATGGTCACTATGGAAAGATTTTTTTTTTTAATTTGTTATAGAAGTGACACGATGCTGCTATCTTTGTTTAAATTTTAAATTTAATGAAATAAGTTTAAAATATGCCATTTGCCAAAATATTTAAAAATGCAAAAAATGCAACTTAAGGAAAATTCCCTCATCAAACATGAACATCACGTGGTCACTGATGTCACTGCAACATAAGTGCGATCACTGATCCGAAATTGATAATATTTATTCTCTAGCTAATATTTCAACAAAGTAAGTAGACTATACTTTCTTTCAGTCCATAAAATGAATATAACCAAAATTTCATCTGGGCTGGACAAAACTTGCAAGAGTTATAAGGAATTCACACACATACACAATGGCTTTTATATTAGTACTATTGTATAAACAATCTGCAAATTCAATATTATTATTATAGTCCTAAAACATGGCAGATTGTTTGGCTTTAATTATAAATGTCAAATTTGCTTATAATACAGTAGATTCTCTCTAATGCAATCTTGCTTTAACTGACCATATTTTTGTTGAGATTTCTCACTGCAAATCAATTTCCAATCAATCATGGAAATAAATGCTGTTGACAATCATATACATTTTTCACTTTGATCAGTCTTTGTTATCTGTGCTATTGTGATTGCAGTTATTCCATATGTGCATACTTTTGTTGTTAATTTTTTTATTACTTTAATTTATGATGATAGGCTCAAACAAGCAAAATTGGAATGTGTTAACTATTAAAACATGTTGGAATATTTTCATAATAGAGAACCTGTAAAACAGATGTCAGAAAAAGTATGGTGAATGATTGTTAGAGAAATTGAAAATACTTTTAAAACTTCAGTAGACATGAAAATGCACTATGGATACAATTTGTGCAAGAAGAACAATGAGGAACTCCTCGTATCTGATCCAATTTTGAAGGAAAAGGCAGTACACCTGCAGCCTACATAAGAAAGTTATGCAGAAAAATCCTTAGCCAACAAGGAAAGGCTTCCATGGCACTTTTTCCATTGTAAAATTCATTACCTAGGTGTTTGTGGCAAGAAGTTTTCAGCAGATCAAGATACTATAATTAAAAATTTTCTGAAAAATGTTTAGACATTATGTAGAAGGAAAATATTACTCCTGAACGAGGCTACAATTCGGATGAAATGGATTTAAATGTTAAGTTTCTTCTGTCAAAAATGCTAGCAGCATCACAAGAAACATTGCTAATTGTTTCAAAATAAATAAAGAACAAATCATTGTGGCACTTTGTACAAAGACTGCTGAGAGTTACAAATTGCCCCTTTCTGTTGGAAAGTCATCACCAAAAGCATTTAAAAATTGAGAAAAGTTCATATAACAGAACATATCAGTATAAAATACCTCATAATGCCATAAATTATGATCGTTCCAACGAATACCATTAGTTTTACAATAATTAGGAAGCCAAGGTAATTTTAACAGACGAGATAGTTCTGCCTCGATGGCTCGACTGATGAGTGCTGCCTTGCCTGAAAAGTTTCACATCTCTTTTAATATTATCCAAATTTCATTTTTAATCTAAAAAGTTATCTATTAATTAAAATGTCAAACATTTACCTATTGGTTCCTCAGAAACTTTTTCACTTTCTTTTGGTAACTTTTCAATCAGGAAGACAAATATTCTTCTAAGTTCAGTTTCATTAGAATAAAGAAAAGTTTGATATCCAATTTCGCCATTATATCCAAGTTCCTAAACATCGACATTCAGAAAATAATTCAGGTAAAATATTGCGTCACAATATCAGAAGATGGAAAGAGTCACTGATCTAATATCTTACCGTACAATTTGTAGCTAAAGCCGTGCCCAGTCGATATCGAGCCGCCATGCTTGGCGGAACATGCCTCGGCAAATCCAGAGAGGAATTGATTTGCTGCAGACATCTCACGACCCCCTCAATTACCAATTCTGTGTTAAATTCTTTCAAGCTGCTGACTTCATCTTCTATATCACTGAAATTAAAGACATTACATATATTTTTGTTGGCTCTACCATTATTTTTATTCTGTCTACATTAGTCCTATTAATTAAATGACTGAACTACATAATTTGGCCTAAAGTGAGATAATTAAATAATTACCTTATACTAAATAAAATTAATGTAATTATTAATATAATAGAATTAAATAAAATTTAGGATTTTCTGGAAGATTAACCTAAAGAGTAATTAATTAATAACCAAACACCTTTATTGTTGCTGAGAAAATTTAATTAAAACAAATGTTTTCAACCTATTCCATAGGCCATCATCAAGTTTAAAACTGATAATTGGAAGATTTCATTCCACAGGATCGAATACAAATATTCAAATTTCAAAAAACTGACAACGGATTAAAAAAATAATATACTAGTAATGTATAAAAAATATAATAAAAACAAGGAATAAAATAAAAACAAACTCAGAAATACTACTAAATATAAGTATCAATTAATACAATAAAATTAAAGTGTAAATTGAGTTTCCAGCAGATTTTTTAACAATATATTTCCAGGCCGATGGAAGGCCTTCCACGTCCCTCGCATTAATACAAGTCTCCTTTAATTTGCTCTTATAAATCTCTATTTTCTCAGAGGTCTTTGCTAATGTTGGGGATTTCACTGGTTTGATAATGTCCACATCATCCCATTTAACTACCGAACTTTGTGCCTGAGCCATCTGGGATAGTACTGTCGCGTTTGAACTTTTTTTGATGTTATACTTGTGCTCCTTTAGCCTTACACTCAAATTCCTTGTTGTAACACCGATATAATCTTTCTTAATCCCCAGCTGCAGGTTTTCATATGGTATCCTATACACACCTGCTTTTTCTTCCTTCCTAATGCTATCCTTGTCATTTCTTAAAATTTTATATAGGTTCGGGGCTCTTTTTAGAACATAAAAACCTTTATCATTCTAACAAATTTTTCCTTTTCTATGCAATATAATAAAAAATAATACCAGTTGGCAATATAAAAGATAACAAACATGTAGTGGTGGCTCATAGCCATCTAATGTGGGAATGCTAAGTAAAAGTAATGTAACTAGAACCAATATTGGGGTACCAGAGTTAAACTGTGCAATGTTACATCCACCCCATATTACCATGGATGTAGCCACTAGAACTGTAGATGAAGAGTAACTTTTAGATATTGCATATACATTTGTATGTGTGTTGATGCATTCAAATGTTTTTTCCTGCACTTAATTGGTTTCTTAACCATTTATCAATTTACAAAGGTAGGGTGCTTGACCACTCCTGGATGCATTATTGCTGAGTAGCAACTACTAGTTTATGTAATAAAAAAAAAATATATATATATGTGCGTATATTAACATCTTTAATAATACATATTATTGAGATATTGTATATGTAATCTAGAACAGTGCTTCTAAATAAGNCATATAAATAAAAATTAGAATATTTAGAAAACAAACTAAACATTTCTCAGTTTAAAACATTGTTAATTCATTTTAATGGTATATATATATATTTTTTTTTTTATTATATAAACTAGTAGTTGCTACTCAGCAATAATGCATAAGTTTTATAATTATTTATCCCACAATTTGTTTTTAACATAAATCTATTCCATTCAACTGTTTTTATTTGTTTATACAGGGTCTTCTGAAAATAATGCTACCATTTTAAATTATTGTAATTATGTTAATTATTATCTGAAAACATTGCAACATACATTAAAACATTGGAAAACTGTCCAAGTTTGACATTTGCCCATTGCAGTTTTTCAATGCATACATTTTGTGTCAAAATGGCACACATCCAACCAATACTCAAATTCTTCCTAAGCTTGCTATGGCGTATCTGTTGTCACGCCACCCATGGCAGCCACAATTCTATAGCTCCTTCAGATTGGGCAGGGTGCCCCAATTGTATCGTTGTGCTTTATAGTGAGCTATTTCGTGCATCTTTGGCGTCAGTTTTGCCTTGCAAATTTGCTCTCCTTGTAAGTGCGATAACGAAACCAAGGGGAAGTAGTAACTGTACCTCCAAGTGGTCCTGCCCGCAAGTAGCCCCTCGTGGGCGAAACTAAACAGTTACTGCGTTTCTTACTATTAAAAAACAGTCCTTTTAAGGACTATGGCAAAGAGACAGAAAACCTCTGATACAGACGACGAGGTGTCGTCGCAGGAAATGGAAGTTTCCCTGCATGATGAACGAATTATAACGGCAGAAGGAATCAGAGATAATATAGAGGAGTATATGCTGAACAGTGGCAAAAGTCGGATAAACTCCAAAAGCCACGTGAGCTACGTGGTTGAACAAATCGATAAATTAATAGACTTATTTCGCCACAAAGAAGAAGCGGTACCGTTGCAAGCCGCAATGGAAAACATCAGCAAAAAGCTGGATCAAGTTTTGAATAAACAGACTTCTTTTCCGCAAAGTTATGCACAGGTTACTGCACCTAAGAAGACAAGTAAACCTAAAGAGGTTATTTTGGTGGAACCGTCGAAAGAAGGAGATGATCCTGAATATACAAAAGAACAGTTAAAGAAGAAAGTGGATCCAAAGAAGATAGGAGTCGGTATACAGGCAGTCCGTAAACTGCGTAAGGGAGGGATTGCCATTGAACTTAATAGTGTTGAAGACAAGAATAAACTTCGTAAAGAAATAGAAGAAAAGACGGGCCTTAGGACAAGGGAGCCCGCGAAGAAGCGACCAAGACTAATCATCTATGGGGTGGCTAAGGACACTCCGAAAGAAGAAATACTGGATTGTCTTTATGAACAGAATGAAGTTTTGAGCACAGGTATGACAATGGAGGAGTATGCCAAGGAGATTGAGTTAAAGTTCCAATTTGGAAGTAGAGAGAAAAGAACAGTAAATTGGGTGATTGAGGTCACTCCAAAAGTGAGACAGATGTTGTTGCCAAGGAAAAAGATCAATCTAGGTTGGTCACGCTGTGGCATTGAAGATTATATCAATGTGGCACAATGCTTCAAATGTTGCAAAATAGGACACATTGCCAAAAATTGTCCTGAGAAGGACATAGTATGTAGTCAATGTGGTAATAACCACAAGTATCGGGATTGTCCCAATAAACATAGAGTGGAATGTTGCAATTGTAAACGAGAGAAATTAAGAGAAGTGAGCCATAATGCCTTTGATAAGAAATGCCCTTTAGTGCAAAAGGTACGTCGACTCATAATTGCTAAGATCGATTATGGCAGTCAATAATAGAAATATAAAGATTAAAATGGTTCAAGTGAACGTGCAAAGATCGATAGGGGCTACATTGGCACTGACTAAAACGATGGAAAAACTTGATATAGCTTTGGTGCAGGAGCCCTATTGTTACAGGGGTGTACCAGGCTATTTAAGAACATCATATAGAACTCTATATAATGTAGATGAAGGAGTAAGACCAAGAACAATGGCTATAGTGAACAATACGTCAATACCAGTGTTATTCTATGGTAACTGGAGCAATGATAGCATGACTTGTTTCGAGATAGGAAGTGGTAGTGAAAGCATGGTATTAGTGAGTATATATTGCCCGATAACTGAGGACTTAGGTCCCCTTCTTTCGAATTTAGATGAAGTGATTACAACTTTTGCACATAAGCAAGTAATAATAGGGGGTGACATTAATGCGCATTCCCAACTATGGGGTGACACAAATAATGATGACAGAGCAGAATTATTTTTGGATTTTGTCAGTTCCAACCAGTTACACCTACTTAATGATCCAGAGTCACCTCCAACTTTCGATGCTCAAACAGGAAGAAGTTGGATAGATGTGACTGTATGCAATGAAAGAGCTTTAAGCAGAGTATCACAGTGGACAGTTGCGCCGGTCAGTAGTCTAAGTGACCATGGTTACATTTACATAGATATAGGACATCAAGACAGGATAGTGGAAGAAGATACAATGCAGTATGCAGTTAGACATGCCAATTGGACTCTGTTTCAGGAAAGACTGGAAGAGGTTATGCAGAGCACAAGCCTCGATATCATAATGACAAAGGAAAGGGCGGAAATGATAATTACAGAATTTAATAATAAAGTGGTTCAGATATGTGAGGAAACCATCCCTAAAAAGAAGAAGGGACGGAAGAAGGTCCCGTGGTGGACCAGTGAATTGGGAGAGTGGCGGAAAACAAATAACCGGCTGAGACGCCGATATCAAAGAAACAGGAGGGAAGAAATACGACAGAAAAGTAAGAGTGAATATTTGGAACATAGTAGGAAGTATAAGGCAAAGATTAAAGAAGCGAAGATCAAATCCTGGCAAGATTTCTGTACCCAAAGCTCGAATAAGCCTTGGGGCTACATTTATAAAGCTTGTATCAATAAAATTAGACAGCCACAATACTTAACAACGATAAAGGATGGAACCACTTATACAGAGGGAATTGAGGGCACAATTATGACACTAATGAATGGGTTTTTCCCTGAGGATAACCCAGACGAGGATACAGAGGAACAGAGGAGGATGCGAGAAGAAGTACAGAGTCAGTATCTAGGACAGCTAGACCCAGAGTTTACAAGAGAAGAGGTGAATAACGCTATCCACCGGATTAAGCCGGGGAAAGCACCAGGCAAAGATAAAATAGTGGCCGAAATACTATACAAAATCTGGGAAACTGGCCCTGGGTTTATCCAGGACTTATATAACTTGTGTTTAAAGTTCGGAACCTTCCCAAAGGTATGGAAAATCGCAAAACTTGTGATTATACCTAAGGGCGATAAGGTAGATAAGAGCTTAAGGAAAAGTTACCGCCCAATAAGCCTGCTGCCAACAATGGGCAAAGTTTTGGACTTTATGGTTAGTCAACGAATATTGCAATATCTGGAACAGAGAGAGTTTATGAGCCCAAAACAGTTTGGGTTTTTACCGGATAAAAGTACAGACGATGTAATTTACAAGGTTGTTGAGACCATAACAACTAAGCTAAATAATAAGAAGTATTGTTGCGCAATAAGTTTAGATATACAAGGGGCATTCG